TAAAATCGGGTAAAAAATATGGGACCCACTAGTCATGTGGCCCTTTCTCTTAAGCTTCTTTGTGTGTGTGGTGGTGTTGGTGTGCGGATTAGTGGATGTCATGTTTATGACCTGACCTCATGTTTAGTAAGGTTACCCTGTGTACTTAAGCCTCTCTCAATCCATGTACGTAATTCAGTTGCCTCTGAAGATGTCTTGAATAAAAACGAAAGCTAAGGTGCTCCATTGTTTCCATTATCCCTGTGCGATTTTATTAATATATATATATATATATATATATATATATATATATATATATATATATATATATATATATATATATATATATATATATATATATATATATAATATTAGGTACTTTACTTACATCTGATTGTGTATGTCTGTATATACTGTATATTTGTAAGGGGTCATAGTTCAGTATTACAACAACCACAGATCAGTGTCAGTGGTCATGGACCACAGAGGTCACAGGTAGGGCGAGGTGACAGTTTCCTGCTGGGTGTAGAAAATCGTGCAAATGAAGGTGTGAGAGCCGGCAGCTGGCGACCTCCCGGGGCAAGAATAGGCGCCGCCACCCAGCTAATAACTACGCTTTATCGATGAGTTTTCACCAAGGATGTGGACCGTAAGGGCGCGTGCTGAATGGCCATGTTATTTGCCCTTATGACCATTCCAGCACCTTCCCCGCCGCGAAGGTGAGGATCACACGCCCTCATGGGTGGAAATCTAGTGCCAGATGATGGTAATTTCGACTTATGGAACACTGGAATGAGTAAAAAATATTTCACGTATCTGTGCACCTCAAAGAAACCGATGGAGATCACCAATAAAACTAGTTTGGGAGGGGGGTGGGGGATTTATAGCCTTGTCCCATTGGGTCTTCCATAAGCAGGACAGGTGAGAGGTTATCCAAGGCCCAATACAGCCCAGACCTCAAGGGTGAAAATCTCGGGGGTTTGAGGCCCAACAGCGTCCTTATGGAGTGTCGTGTCGAGGCTAGATTGAACGAGGCGCGACAGCCAATCGTTTGATGATAGAATGATGAATTTTCTGATTGTATGGCGACTGGCAGGTGGTTGAAGGAAAAGAGTGCGCACGTTGCGAGAGGGAGGTGGGTTGTTCCACTCACTCTGGGTAATTGAACGATTGGAAATCTCAGATTCTTCAATGATTTCATCCCGGAAAAAGATTTAGAATGACCTGTATTGTATTAATTCAAGGAAGCGACGGGGAAGAGCATGTTTTGTTCCAACTCAGATGATAACTATTCTCTTTCTTTACAATACTGCTGGAATATCATTTATGGTATAATCTTCCACGATAATCTCCGTTTGTTGCACAGTTGGGCAACTGAGTGTTTTTTAAGCTAAAATGGAAGGTCATAAATTTGATTTATAATTCCATTTTTGTACTTACCTGTTCTTAAGTCTTTGTTATAAAACCTTTAACTCTTTGAGGATGTATGGGTTAAGATTATCATGTGTGATGGCTGGTTACCTTCCAGTGTGTGATGGGGCAGCCCAGCTCAGGCTTAGGAGCTGTGGATTAGAGTGTTAGAAAGAAGTTGTCATCTGGAATCAGATACATGTTACATAAAAATTTTAAATTTACATTCCAGATAAAGATTTCAATTGACCGAAAATGTCCAAAGGAAAGCTACCAGACTGGTGCCTGCTCTACGGCATCTTATCTACCCAGTGAGATTGGAACACCTGCAACTCCTAGCTTGTACTACAGACGAACAAGGAGGAACCAAATTGAAGTGTATAAACATCTCAAGAGGGCACTACTCAGTCAAAAGTATATACAGTACTGTAGCTGGAGAACGCCCGCCCTACAAGGGGTCACAGCTCAAGTTTAAAGAAGCCACAAGTCCAGGAAACAGTGAGGGCAAACTGTTTTGGAGTGAGAGTTGTGAACTCTCGGAACAATCTGCCAGTGTGTGTTGTGACAGCACCGAGTGCAAGCTCTTTCTAGATCAGACTTGACCAACACTGGAGCAGGTTCCGATACATTCAGGAGCCAGTTCATGCTCAGTACTTGTTTCAATCTGGGATCCTCGCAACAAATGATTGGGTGTTAAGTGCTTTTGGCTCATCTATGGCTTCTTGGACATAGGTAAGTGGGCTATTATTTACTCAAGCTTCTATCTCAACTAACACTGTGCGCAGTTCATCAACGCTAACTCTTCTGTTGTGGAGGACTTTACGCAGGCATCTCTTCACCACCCATACCATCCTTTCATAGAAGCCTCCTTGCCATGGTGATCTGGGTGGAATAAATTTCCACTCACATTGGCGACTTCTGAAGAATTCTTGGACTTCAGGTAGTTTAAATTTTTTTTTTATACCTCTGTTGTCCTGAAGTTGGAGCAATTATCAGAAATTATTAACCTACGCCAAAATCTTCTGAATGCTCGCAGAAAAGTATTAGCCGACATGCCCGTCACCAATTCTAGATGAATGGCTCGTGTCCTGGCAAAAGTAAATAAGCAGATGTATACTTTGGTTGGTACTGATCTTTTTTCACCACTAGGATTCTGTAGTTGTATAGAACCTGTGTAGTATATTCCAACTACCTGGAAAGGTCTTGACATCTGGATATGTTCCACTGGTAACAGTAGTGGACCAGGGCATTTAACAGTTCTCGAGTCATATCTGTGACAGATTATACAGTTTCTAATACAGTACAGGATTTTATGGCCTGTTGTGCTTTGGGTATCCAGAAACTTTTTCTGATGTTAATCAGAGTACTGTACTGTATGAACAACACCTCCATGTAAGGTATTATAGTGAGAATCCGTAATCACCAACTTTGTAAATCAATATGTCTTTGGAAGTAATACAGGATGCTTAGCCCCATACACCAATGAAGAGTTGTGAATTCTCCCTCTACATCTAATGAGGTGATTATTACCAAGATATAAGCCCAATTGATTGATTAGCTTGTTATGTCTGAGGGTCTTTGCGGACAGCACACACTGATTTGCTATTGTCATTGGTTCTGAGGCTGATTGATTTATAGGGTAATTTCTTGATAAGGTTTGTAAGTCTGTAATTTAATTGTGGAATGTTTGGCTTCGCACCTGTTGTACAATAACATTGTTGGACATGTATGTTGTAAAATTCGAGTGAATAGATTAAGGAGGAATTTAAATACTGTACGTACATATCTAGACCTCGCAATTTTCCAAGAGACAAGAATTGATTGGATATTAGTCAATTTGGTTGGTTGGTGTCATCCATCTATGCTACATCTGAACAACTAATACTGGTTGGAATATATGACTTTTGTTCTGGCCGTTGATTTTTATCCACGAACCATTCAGGACCCTGAAACCGCAGTATATCTTTTGTAAGTTGTCTTAATGAAGTACCCCTACTCAATAGGTCTGCAGGGTTTGACTTGGTCTCTACATGCATGAAACTAAAGTTTTCCTGTATTTCTGCAACTCTATTCTTGACATAGGGTAGTTTAGAATTGTAGTTTCTCACCCATTAAAGTGATGCCTCACTATTGGACCAGATGTAGATTTCCGTAATAGTTAAGTGTTCCAGAGTTTGATGGATATATCTAGCTAATTTAGTCCCCACCCTAAGAGTCATCCATGGTGTTCCACTTTAGTCCAAGCACCGATGTTATTGTAGGCATATCATACTCATGGAAGTCATTCTCGATGAATTCTTGAAGCTTCGAGTTGTACTTCTTTATCTGTAGTCGTCCTCTGAAAGTTATGAACATAGAAGTTTGATGATGCTAGCAACTGTTTGATGGAACTCTTGGACTTTCTAAGGTGGTAATCAATGGTAGCTTGTAATAAAAATGGTGAACTTGTGGCTCCAGAAAGTACAAATCTGAATCTAAAGGGATTTATTGGACTATCCTGATTATGGGGATTTGATCACCAAAGGAAGTGGGTAAAATCTCTGTCCTCTTCTTGTAGGCTTATTGTCAGGAGCCTTTGAAATATCTGCATGTTCTGAAGGACAACAATATGTCACCTAACTTCTTGGTTAAAGTCGGGCCAGTCATTAGGCAATCATTTAAGGAAGGTACCTGTGGTTTTGATAATTGAAAATGGGAAATTTTGATACACGTAATTGAAAATTGGAAATTTTAATCACTGAATCTGGGAAATTTGGGTAATTGAAAATAGAAAATTTTTGTCACTAAAATGGGAAATTTTGATCACAGAAAATGGGAAATTATAATTACTGAAAATGGAAAATTATGATAATTGAAAATGGGAAATTTTGATGATAGAACATGAGAAATTTTATCATAGAAAAAGTAATTTTTTTCAAAGAATATTATCACAAATGGGATTAAGGCTGCATTTTCACCAAACGAGTCGAGTCATTAGAGTCATTTGACTCGAGTCAAATTGACTCATTCCCGTTCACACCGAAAGTCAAAGCGAGACAGGTTTGTCACTAAATTGTCGGTACCCAGCCTGATTTCGAGCAGTATGGACACATTATCTCTCGCCGAGCTATATGCTCTATTGTGGGTTCGGTGCCGTAGGTGGAGGAGAACCCGATTGAGGATGCATGAAATCAACACCAAAAGACCAGATTTTGGTGCCTTTAGTCATTTATTCCCAGACTTGGTGAACCATCTAGACACATTCTACAATTTAAGTTGTCATCTTAGATGACAACTGAAAACTTCAATAAGTTGGTGGACATGACAGGACCAGCTGTCAAGAAAATGGACACAAACTAAATTTATGAGATCATCCACCTGCATGATGCTGCTCAAACCATAACGGACGTGCAGTGACTGACGAAAAAAATGGGTCCAGCAGTATACGTGACTTGACTCGGCATGACTTGATTCGACTCAACTCTCCCGGTGTGAACGGTTTCTGGAAAAATACATAGAAATTAATGTGAACTGCAATGTCAAGTCGAGATGAGTCATGACTCGTCTTGATTTGACTCGACTCATTTGTTGTAAATGCAGCTTAAGACACAGCAATTATTAAAAGAAAACACTTCCATATCTTTGCTTTATTTGTAACAATATAAATGCATATACATCAACATTGTATGTACATCTGTGAGCATACACACACTAACATTCATGTTCACACTTCAGTCACACAAATATTCACTTACATACACAAGAACTCTAGCAAGCAGCAGGTTAGGGTCTCAAAAGGACTTCCACACAAGTATTACTGACAACATCCAACATGACCATTTGAAAACAATTCTTTGATAAAAACTTAAAATCTTATTTTTTTATGACTGAAATTTCAATTCTAATAACTTTCTTCCAACACATTTTTACAGGTGGTCAGTTTAGATACTGTTAGCTATACAGAAATATAAGCTGTAAATTTCAACCAAGTAAAAAATAAATAATTCAAATTTAAAAAGATCTCCTTTTATAACACTGAACCTTATCAAGAAGTTTCAAAATAAAAGTTATACAAGTGTAAGGAAAACTGATGAAATCTACTCGGTTTTAAAAACAGCATAATTTCAACATTACATTACTGACAATTACAGAAACCAGACTCACATTTGACTTTCTGGATTTGTTTCTCGTCATTCTGAAGAACTCTATAGCTTCAAAAAAACATGATTCGATCAAATTATTCACAACTTACTATGCAATGGTATGTTCACCAAGTGATATGCTAACAAAAGTTTAGCCGAAAAACCTCTGTCTATTGGCTCATCACTGTGGATACAGTACATAGCAGTAATAACTTGATCAAAACCCATTTTCTATCTTCATCTGAGCCTTCAAATTGCAGAGCAGCTTAAAGCTTCTGTCTCATCACATCAAAAGGAAACAAAGGGGATTGTAATCATTGTGTAATACAAAAAAAATTATTATTTTTTGTTAAACTTGAGGCAATAAAACAGAGAGCACTAGCGAGTATTCGTTGGTCGAGAGTCCCAGGTGGGAGGATACAGGCCGAAATTTACATTCTGAAAGAGAATTTGGGAAAAATGTGCCAAAATTATCTTCAAAATTTGTATAAGTCAGAACACATAAATCTGCAAATGATATCTTCATGATGTGTCGAGTGTCTTACTAAGAAAGAACACCAAATTCATTAAAATAAGAATATTTACCTGGATCCTATCAGGATTCTGAAGGGAAAGTGAACACTGTAATTTGTTTCACAATTGCATACCCTTTACCATTATATTGTTGTTTGAACCCACACTCTTATAGCAGTACTGTAAATGGCTTACAAGATTTAGAGGAAGAAAAAATTTATTACTAGGTCTTCCCTCCAGAGCCTTTACACAAATCCAGCAAATGCTCATATTATTTTACCTTGAATGTTCTTTCTTTGGCAGTAAACCACCACATATGGGACTAAGGTTTACAAATCAATGTTTTGTGGATCTCTGTTTAACAAAATAGCCTGGATGCCTTATGCTTAACTGAAACATATATCAAAGTTTCATTAATAAAATCGAGCATTTTTAAAATCAATGCATCAGGAATATTGATAACTGATCTTAAAAATTCCACATACACATACTGTACATTGAAATTCTAACAGAATATACAAAGGTTGGTGGGATATCATAAGCAATACATGGTGCAGCCAGACTGGACTCTGTGATCACACACGAACAGCAACCCCAATTTAACAACAAAAATATATCAACAGTGGATCAAGAACATGGTCCATAATGTTGGCTTTGCCTTACTATGCCAACTTTCACTGCCTGTCACACTGATCAAGAGGAAAACATCTGGGGGTACAGTCTATATACACGAGCATCCTCAATGTCCCACAGTGACCAGAAACAACTTTTTCACTTAGGAAAGTTCAACAATCGCTATTTCTGTACAACAGACAATAAACAAGAAAGTGATAGATCTGGAAATTGTTTGTAAACAGCATAGACACAAATAGTCATAGTGCCAACACAGAATAAACAGTCCTATTAAAGTGGTGTTTCTGCTGCCTCTTGCAACTATGAAAAGTATAAAAATAATATTAAACCATGTGTTGTATAAAAAACAAAATTCACAAAAACTATTAGTGGAAAACACATTCAAATCTTTCACAGAAAGTTCACATATTCAGGAAATAAAACACCATATCCAGCAGCCACACTAAAGTCATATTATGCCCTCAATCTTAAATAGCTGTATCTTGATTTTCTTTCCATTCACTGTAATGTGTCCACTCATTATACAACAAATCAATAATTGTTCTACTACAGTCAATGGATGAATATCATGAGATGTTTGAAATGATATTTAAGGGGATTATCACTGGCACAAATATAGAGGTGAGTGCAGCTCCTGTATATGGTTGAAAGGCTACAGGGGTATACACTTAGCTTCCAGGTGGCAGTACCGGGACCTATTAAACATAAAATAAGTGAAAATCTGTGACGATAATGACAATAAATTGCTAATTTAAGCTACAATTGAGTCCAGGAAACAATAAGTATAAAGCAATCTAACATACCATGACTAGCATAGGGAAACTCTTGGAGTCCTCCATACTTGTAAATTCTTTAACATTTCAATTGTCTTTCACATTACTAGATTTTATGAGTATTCAAAATAACTAGTATCACCAGCAAAGATTCTATTTGAGGGATAAGATTCATATACGTAATTGGTACTGTACAAATGTTGTAAAAGCTGACCCAAAGTGATGATGTCAAGGCAATAAAAATAATTGAATTTCAAGCTAAATGTGAAGCTCGTTAGTACTTCACACCAATAAATAATGGGTGTACTGAATAAGACCATCATTATATACAGTAAAGAAGTTCATTGCTTCCTCTATAAGGTTGAACAGGGACCAAAATACAGTTACAACAACTCACTTCAGGTCAGCTTTCATTTCAGAGACAAGCTCATACTTATAAGCCCTAAGTAACTTATCAACTTTACTTTTTTTCATCTATGAGCCAAAGTTGAGTGAGCCTGTTCAAAAATATCACTTACAATGGATTAAGCCATTACATCACAATTCAAAAAATTTATTTGTACATGACAGTTGAGAAACAGCTAGAGATGCACAGTAATATAATTTACAAGAAGTCGATAATATTTTTCTATACAAAATGTGCCACAAGTATCTATCATGAGCAAGGATCCAACAACACTATTATTACTAACATGACCTATTCTTTCTTAGTCCAGATTTTCTCTTTAAATCCCCCAAACAAAAAAAAATCAAGGCATATTATCCATACTAATGGACTTAGGTGGACAGGAGTCACCCAAATGGGGGTTAAGTGATGCTCATTAACCCGATAAAAAAAAAAAGGCCAAGAAATCCTGGCAGGAGGAATCATCGTATCAATCATCATTGGCATTGCTTATCTGTATGTTTTAAAATCTATAATCAGTGTGTGTGTACACAAGACAATATTCCAGAAATAAGTGTCAACACTCACAGATACTATACAGTACTATGAAATATAAACTGAATTATTAACTTTTCAACTCTTGACTAATGTCGTGTAGAATGAATTTGTCTTAAATGATCAACAATATAAGCAGAGTTAGGTTTTGTGTTCTTATAACTCTTACTTGTATAATTTATTAAATCTTATGAAGAACAATGGTGGCAAATCAATAAAAGAATTATGTGAAGTAAATTCAGAATTTTTCAAGCAAAAGTAATTTTTTTGTAAAACAAATGTATTTTTACCAAGATTTTCTAGGTTATCTAAAAAGAGAAGCAACCATAACACCTATAAATACTTCATATTGTATATTGATCAAAGCTTACCTTCTAGAATGAGCATAAGCATCTGTGAGAGGGAATGCTGACAACAGATTAAGCTGGTGTGATGACTGAAGGATCATATGAAACATCCTAACTTCGCTATTCCCTTTCTCTCTGCTGGTACACCCTCCCTTGTAGCCCACTCACAATATCAATTTGGCTGCTTACAGAATTTGTTTCAAATTCAAAATATACATGAAAAACAATAAAGAACTACTGATCTGAATAGTCTAAAACATAATCATGAAATTTTATGATGCTTTGTATCACACAAAAATTTAGCTCAATATGATTACAAATCTTTCAATACAATATACCAATACATGTTTAAGAGAAACTAGAATTCACATTTACTAGGAACAAACAAAACCCTGCCGGTTGGAGATATGACGCCTTAGTTATTGTATAGTTCAAAATTAATTATGGTGTCATTTTTACATTAGCTTAACAAATGCTGATCAAAATAATGAGATCCACCACATAAATATATGAATTACAGGAAACCAAGAGTGGACAATACATCATCAGTTCAATGAAGGTACAAATGGGTGAACATTAGGTAAACAGATTATCTACAAAAATTGATAGAGGTAAAAAAAAAGGCTAACACTGCACTAGTCATTCCACATCACTATTAATCTGGAGTACAGGTATCACATGCCAAAAGCTATCCGTGGTTATCACTAGGTGACTTCTAGCTTTCTCAATAAATTTTGAAGTAGGAGGCTACAAAGGAGTAGCATAAAAGGCAGGGGTTTAGGGGTTGTGTCCAAGCAGGAGTTCATGGAACATAAAAAGAATACTGTACAGTAATAAAAAATTGTATGGGGCTGGATAATAGCCATTCTTTAACTATAACAAAAATAGCAGTACAGGTATTCATGCTTTTCTATGATAAACCCAAGCGCTATTTGTTTAAACAGGATTTTTTGAGAAACGGAAAGGTAGATGAAACTGCTTGAAAATTAGATGACTTTCTATTGACATGCATCCTAAAATCATACAGTATACTGTACATCATAAAGGCAATAAAACCAAACACTATAATTTGTGCTTTGGTTGGTGGTTTCTTATCCAGGAGTGTTCACAGTGCAACCAAATATTATCTAATTATAGCCATCATTAATACAATCAATGTTTGTTAAGGCTTTGAATTTGTTGAAATCTCACATACGTGGAAAATATACATCAAATACTGGTGAAAAGAAAGGTAAAAGTTAACTTTCAGAAACTGAAACTTTCCACTGAATAACTTCAGTTCAGGTAAAACACTTGCTCTTCAGAGTAGCCTAGAAAATGGAATGAAAATACATGCACAACTTCACATTAAATAATAAAACTAAAAATTAAGGAAATTCTATCTATCCATTATCTAAATTGTTCGTCCACTTTTGTGTGGAGTGGGTTAAAGGGAATATTAACCTCACTGAAGGAGCTGATCACCAGGAAGAGAAGTGCAAGAAAGCAACACGAAAGGAAATTCCTCAGTACAAAATACCAATTAAGGGATCAGTTTTTCCTAAGGACCTAATAAAGCAGTAACTACAGCAACTAAGCCAATATCTCAAATGACTATAGCTGTTAGGAAACTGATTCACTGTTTTAACTCTTTCTATAGTCCAGTTAATTATAAGCGAGTAATTCAGTCAGAGGTCCTTACTGAATGAGACATCATAATGAAGTTTTATATCCCATGGATGACCCAGATGCAATGAGAAAATTATATATTAACCAAGAGCGGTTTATAAATAAAAATGTTTTATGGGAGTATTATAAGTGGTATGGAAAAATATTACATATTTACTTATTTCCTGAAAGTTTTGCTTAATATGGAAGGTAAAACATGCATGAAAGGTTTTGGTGAAAACAAATACTGTACAGAGGAAAGGTTGTGAACAAAAGCACCAGCAAGCATACTAATCAATTCTCTTTTGATGAGCAAAAATAAAAATACTTTATAAAAGTTAGTGTTCCACAAATTATTTATGATTCAACTAAAAACATTGGCAGAACTACAAACAAAAATTCAGGCAATCAAATGCACTCTACAATAACCTGATGTTCTCCTCATATATTCCAACTACTGTATATTTAAACTTTCTTCCATTGACCTAAAGAGTCTTAATGCAAATTTCCTGTGGAAAAATGAAAAAGACAGTCTGTTCCCCCAAAAAATTACAAGCAAACACAGGAATCTGGTTGATACTCATGATACCAGACTTCTCATTCAGATAAATGTTCAACATGAAGAGTAATGTTTGCAAAGAATATTCTGTTACTTGAATGTTTTGGTCCCCTAAATATCTAAGCTCAGACAGAAAATAAATCTACTACATATAGTGATATATGAGTCCACTTATTTAACACATAACTACTTGGCAAAATTATTTGTAAACTTCAATTATATGGAGGCTCTTTACTAATGAATATTATTGCTATAATTATGAGAACTTTGAACATGATAGTAGAAAATGACTACAATAAAAGAACTTGAAAAACAAATTGCCTTAAAACACCATAATAATACTGGATAGGAACCAGACTCAACCAATTTTTCTGGAAGATATCAGCAAATTACATTAGACACAGCTATCATCTGAACGTAAAGTCAGCTACACTACATACCACGTACAGCCGTCTCAGTCCATGTTACTGTAAGCATGACTGTATCTTCTCAATCCACTCCTGTGCAGCTTGCCCATCTGAGGCGCAGAAATTATACAAACGACGTTTTGTTTGTAACTGTGAAAAGTAAAGCAACATTATTAAGAGTAAATGGAGGACTGATCTTGAAAATTTATTCTCTCACTGAGCCTGTACGTCAGTTGACCTTTGGAAGCTTGTCCTACATGTCATGACTTTGTCACACCCTCACTTAAGAGTTGGGGGCTCTCTTACAATCATCCATCCCTCCCTGTTACAGCCATCACTCAGAAGAGGAAGATAAGAAGCAAATGTTATCTTCTAGAGGCAAGAAGTCAATATATAGTTGAGCTAGCTAATCAGATCCTTGTGCCACCACTACAGACTGTCATCTTTGATTTTGAAACCAATCTGCCTGCTAGCCTTAGTTTCCAACTTACTAACATTTAACTCGGGAGGAGGGATGGTGTCAGTGCTACCTGGCTACAGGTTCATCTAAAAAATTGTGCTTGGAGTTCAACCCTCTATTTCTAACTTGATGCCCTCCACCAGACAACACTCATGAATGAAAACAGGCTATAATGGTGGAAAGATAAGGCTTCACTGACTAACATATGGTATGCAACAATGGGGAGTTAACCCATCTACAGTACACAAGGTGAGTTGGGCACAGAAATATATGTTGACTCTTTATGATAAATATTTAAAATTTTCTAACATCCTCAAAATTGGGGGTATGAATTATGGATTTTTACTGTACACTATTGTAAATACTGTAGTGAAAAGTGTTCATTATTTTATAAATCTTGTATATGTGTATATGTAGGTAAATGTATAGCAAGAGGGCATGTAGTGAAAACTGCTTGAACTGTACTGGAGGTTTCTGATTAAGGGAGAACCTTACTGGATGTATAAAAAAATCTAAATTTGCAATATTTTCCAAAAATCCATAATTGTATTTTAATTCTAAATGAATTATTCTTAATTGAACATTTTTAGGATTACTTGTGGTGAGAAACCAAGGTAAATAACAGATACTCACATCAAAAAAGGCTCTGTCATCAACCTTCTTTGGTGCCCCTTGTGTTGGTACAGATGGTATCACAGCAACAACATCAGAAAGCTCTGTGGGTTAGTTAAATTCATTGAGCAACTGACTAAACCGAAAATTATCTATCTTTTTTATCAACTTAGTGATTAAAAAAAAAACAGTATCATTTTCTAAGTGAGTATACTGGACTGTATAAGTATGATAAATATAAAAAAGGGAAACTTAAGGTCAGAAGGAAGAAAGACACATACTGTTCAGAAAATTCTGGTGGGGAAGATTTACTGATGATGTGTTCAATGATAAACTTATGCCAAAGAAGCTATAAAGTGTAATTGATTACTGATCCAATAACCCTAACCTGAACTAACCATGAAGACAGGAGTCCATAAGGACCAGGGCTCTTTGTTAGAATGAGACCCCATTAAGAATAGGATTCATTAGAATTGGTTCCTAATACTAATAGTTATGTTAAGGTGTGACCAAATTAGGATGGACTCATTTTACTTGACAATTAAGTAATTACTTTACTCCTTCTTTACTTTTATATATACCAGTGATTCCTTTTTGCTTTACTATACTGTAATATTCTACTTACCAATGATTCCCTTAAAGTGCGAATCTTCCATACTATCATAGTAACGCAGCTGATGCTTAACACTGTCTAGAACAAACCACCGTTGCTTCCAATTTTTTAGAAGAGAACCACGCTTCCACAAATATCCTTCATGTGTCCGGTTTTCTGCCACATTGGAGGAGAATTGTTCGTAGTACTGGTGGGATGTAGTTTGTAGAGATGTTACACCTGTTCAGGGAGAGGAGGTACCTGTATTGCAGTATGTATACTGTACAGTACAAGCAATGACTGTTATACGATGGATCTATATACACTTAATCAGATTTACGCTGTAAAAAAATTAACACCATTTACCACTAGGCGATGGATAAAGATCAGTTTTACAATAACCATTACCCGAATACTTTTCTTGCAATGTCATTGCTATGAATAAGTGATGTAAAATAACTCGCAATATTCTGAGATGCATGGGAGGTTCTGTCTGTCCCTGGTGACTGCCAGGCTAAGCAGTTGATCTGTGTTAAGTGTGGAAGAAGCTATTCTTTGTACATAAAATAATATATACTGTACTGCACCAGTAAAAGAGGGGAATAAATAAAAATAATAATAATAATTAAAAGACAAGGAAAAAATTAATGTGTTGCCATTTGGTAATCTTGCCACCACACACAGGACAGCACAGCCATGAGGGAATGCTACTTTCTGTACTTGCTCCCACATGTAATAAATGTTTAATCCATTTTATGTTTTTTACCTTCTGATATATACTGTACAGTATATACAGTATATTTTTTGCACAATCTGTACAAATGATTGTGTGTGCACGTAACATAGTAAAATTTAAGAAAATGACGTATACAGTATCTACCTGAAAATGAGTTGAAAAATAACAGTAATACAGCTCACAGCTTGACAGGAGGCTGAAATACCAGCTCTGCACCCCACCCCACTTCCCACAATTCCTGGAAACCTAAGAAATTTTTATTCCCTTTATGTTTCTGACCTTATGATAATGATTTTTAAAATTTTTTGGGCACATTCTGTATGAACGATTGCGTGTGAATGTACCAGTAAAAAAAGAAAAACAAAAATGTATATCTACACGAAATTGCAAGTTGAAAAATAAAAATAATGCAGCTCACAGATTGGCTGGAGGCTGAGATACTGACGCCTCACCCCCTTCCCACAATCCACACTAAATCACGGGAACATCAAATTGTTTATTCTCTTCATGTTTTTGACCTTATTATAATCATTTCTATTTTTTTATTTGCATATTCTGCATTAAAGATTGTGTGTACATGTAACAGTAAAAAAATAATAATAAATAAATAATGAAGATATTACAAATGTCTACCTGAAATTACTTGGAAGTGACAGCTGGGGGATCGCAACGTATTACTGTACACATACATAGCATGCAAGATAAATAAATCCTTATTCTGCACAAATTTATTCTTTTTGTCTTTATTTTGTATAAATTTATTGTTTTTTGTTTTTATTTTGTATAGAGTTATTGATTTTATGTCTATTTATAAATTACTTAAGTTATTTAGACATTCTTTAATCATTATACCAGTTGGATATAAAACTTGTTTGGGCTTTACAGGAAATCAGAAATGGAACCTAGTTTTCCCTATAAGTGTATTGATATATGATTGATCACTTAGCCATGGCTTTTAGAGGTCCCTAACCCCATCGTATAATGGTCATTGCCTGTACACAATTTGTCAAAATCAACTGCATCACTGTTTATGAACAACCTGGAACAATACCTATGACAAAAAAGAATGCAATAATTTTTGTTAATAATGATAATTTCCAGTAGAAATTCATTAGACTGGCATCCAATGGTCCAGAAAGCCCGATTGTCAGCCAAGAAAAAGCTGCAAAACAATATGACTGTATCCTAAGAAATTATCATTGGGTAAATCATTGGCGAGTTGTACTCCACAATAAACTACAGTACAGTATCATATTATTCTTTTTACCTTTGCACATTGCATCATTTAATTGACTATGCAATATGTACAAAAACTATACTACAGTATATCACATAAAAGTGAAAAAGCTTCTTGAGGTTTTTACTTGGAGTAACATCCTAATCCCCCAGGGTACTGGATTATTGGACTAGTACTGTACTAGGAATGTCAACAAAAATTAATAAAATTTCTTGGGGCTTAAATATATAATTCAATACTCAATCTATTGCTCTGAGAAAACAAAAGATTACTAGGGGCGGATGCAGGAATATCAAAGGTGTGTGTGTGTGGGGGGGGGTCCAATTCCAAGAAGTTATGGGTGGGGGAACATGACATTTTGAGGCCATGTGCCCTTGATATTAGGAGATATTCTGAAGTCAATAGTAATTAAATTTTATTTTGCAAAAACTCCTGAATACAATACTGCATTAAAGAAAAAATATTGGAATTTTCTGATGAAAAGGAGGGGGTCCTGGATCTGCCCTTGTTTATACAAAGATCAAAGACAAGAGAATGAAGGGCTTTAGGTACTACCTCAACAATATCTCACTGGGCAGGAAGTTGTTTGAAGCACCTAAGCTAATGAAACTGAACAGTGTAACTTGCCATTGGAGCATGTAAAGCCCCCTACGGAAGGGCAGGCTCATCAAAATTGAAAAATGAGACAGACACAAAAGACTACACTCATAAATAAATCTGTTGCTTGGAATAAGGCAGAAACTTAACAAAAGTTAGAGGGCAGCCTTACCTGATCCCACAGAGGTAGTGTCTAAGCTAGTAGGTTTTGTGCTGGTTTGTATGCTGACCCCAGACTCTCTTACACTCTTGAATCTGGTACAGTTCTTGGGCACCGACTCAATGCACTTCTCGTGGCAATTGTACCCGCAGTCCATACAACGCATTCCAGTCTGAAAATACCGTGAAACTTTTTGTAGGTTACTTGTTCTTTGTTACTCTTATTTCACAAGTTTGATTCTCAATGCCATATGGGAAAAAAAAAAATACTTACTGCAGATGACACATAATATGCTCACCAAGACCTTAACTTCTGGCCTCTTGACCCTACAACTAGACATCTGTGCATTCCAAAGGGAAAATCCCTCATAAAGTCTGGTAAAGGTATGAAACTCATACAAAAAGTGATCAAACCTGTTTTAACTCTGAATGTTAAGGATTGGACACACAGCATTATACCATTATAGGCTCTGCAAAGTGGATATACATAAATGTAATGAAAATTTATGCACTTGGAATATAAAAAGAGGGAAAGAAAGATTAACAATGAAAAACTGATCGATTTATTGGGTAAAATATCTGATGTCGCAGCCTGTGGTCATTTGGCGTTGAAAATAAAACTCAATTTAAAACTATAATATAAATAACATGAGATGAGAAGCCCAAACATTGCCACTCTAATGCCTCTTGTTGTTGGTGCTTGGAGGCTGACTGACACTGTAGCTCCAGCAATACATTTAAGATTCTTAAGCTTATTACTCAACTCTGACAACGCCTCCATCAAAAGGCCTCCTTCTGCTTGGAGTATAACTTTTGGTGCAGATACATATACTGTACTTGTACAATATCTTGGTACATCTGAAAAATATTCTGGTCTATTAGATAACTCTCACTTGATGATAACATCAAATATTTCTCATATGAGTCATGTTCAAAGACACCAGGTATGGTCTTTTTCATGACAGCAGTTTGCCAAGAAGGACATCCCCCATGCTGGAGAGAACGTCAGGCACTGCCGGGCACAAAAGGCTTCGGAATGGTCAATAAAGAAGGCGGTCCAGGAGATTGGTCCATTGATGAGCCAGGGTCATTAAGGTTGTAGTCAGTTCAGAATTTATGTGTATGGATGCCATAAAAATTATTACAAGGCATTTACCTCTCCATCCCACTCACCCACCTCAAAGTTCAACAAGGGGAGGCCACACAATGGTCCCAGGGATAGTGGGAAGGCATACACAGGCTACCACTAAGTCTGCTGACACCCACAGGACCAAATGGGGTGTCGACTTTGTGGTGCCTGTTTGACTCTAGCCAAATGACTGGCACCGAGGCCAGCCATATTGACCAGCCGACTGACTTTATCTGGCAACAAGACAAGCCTCCAATCTTACCAGTGTGCAGCATCTCCCAGTTTTATGGGTTGCCATGTACAACAAAAATGTGGGAGAACTACTCTCCAGCCCTTGCTGACAGGGCCAGTGGAAAGGTGCCACTAGCTAGCTCTCAAGCCTAGCAGCTCAAGAGAACCATTTAGTCTCATCCCTCCCTGATGACCCGTCCCACTTAGGATGATGAAAAAGTGAAGGGGTTAATACTGAGAGCAGGTCGGTGAAGAGGAAGAGTGAGAATAATGGGAGAAAACTGGAGTGGTAAAAGCTCAAGTCAAGAATGGTCAACAGCCTCGAGTTCTTTAGTCTTATTTAGCTGTATTAAAAAAAATTATCCCATTATGAACCAAGGCACCATTGAGTACCAATAGTCTTCATGCTTGAAAATTTCAGAAAAATTTGGTACCCAATTTATCCGAAATGACAAATAGAACAGTTAAAAACTTTATGCCACAAGCCACACATAGTAGTGTGACATAAAAATTAATAAAAGCAAGGAAGGAATGCAGAGAAGGAAGATGAAAGAGGAGGAGGAGGAAAATATAAAGACGGAAAAACAGAAAATGGTACAAAAACTTGAATAACCCAACTTTTACTTACAGCATACATATTTCCCATTACCATTAACATGGCATCATATCAACTACAAAACTTTAGCTTTAACTTCAACCACTTTCATTCATAAAGCTTTCTGCTGATTACCTTGAGATTTTATTCAATTCAGAACTAATAAGGTAGCTTTATGAATAGCCCGTTACTTATGCAGGTTTAAGAATTTACTTGCTCACCTTAAGTGGACCCCACAATAAAGAAGAACAGTGGTCGCAGTAGGAAGGTGTGGTGTAATTGTACTTTTCAAAACGGTGCGGGTGGGAATAACAACCCTGCGGAGTGTCTCCACCCCCGCCTGGTGTACTGCCACTCGTTTTACCTCTTATCAGGATCTCAATCGTGCTACGCTTGTGGACACTTCGGCCATGGTGGCGTACCATCTGTGTTGTCATAGAAACTTGACGCTGAAAAGAAAAAATATATTTTAGAAAATTTGTCCTTTTTACATGTTGCAAACCAATACTTCCGGATCATATATGGAAGTAATTTTTTTTTATATACCTGTGCTACCCATGTCATAAATACAGCATGGTACATAAAAGTGATCAATCAACCATGGTAAAACATGGTCATTGTGGTATTACGGAACATGTTTCAGTATCTATTTGTGAGAAATATTTTAATTCTTTATGAAAATTCCGAAAAAATTCATACAATGTTACTAACAGCTAGATTTTAACACCAAACATGCGCCATATTTTTCTGTTCAAGCATGGTATACCCGAGAACAGTGGTGGTAATTTATTTCAATCAGGGGATCAATTGGAAAGATTTCACAGAGACTTAGGGTTATTTACCATTAATAATTAGAACATATTTCATTTGTTAAAACAAAGCACGCACGCACGCACGCACACACACGCACAGTGGACAACACCTCACCGGACTACTCATCGCTACAAGGCACCCTGGACAGGCTACAGGCATGGACTACGGAGAACAAGGTCACCATCAATCACACCAAAACAGTAGTCATGCACATCAATACCGCCACCACTCCAGTGCAAGCCCCAGCAGTCACAGCGGGTGCCCATCCTCTCCAGTTAGTGCAGTCTGCCAAACTCCTGGGTGTAGCTATAGACCACAAAATGGACTGGAAGGACTATGTAAACAACACAATCAAGGCAGCCTCGTACCGACTCTACATGCTACGACGACTCAGGTCACTTGGGACACCCACGCCAGAGCCGAGGACTATCTACAACGCATTTATTCTCCCCAAATTAACGTATGCGTCACCAGCCTGGTCATCTTCTCTCAACTCTACCCAACAACGTCAGCTTGAGAAGGTACAGAAGAGGGCCTGCAGAATCATGCTCGGCGCAGACTACTCCGGCTACAATGCCATCCCTCAGTGACCTACACCACCACGCACTAGCAGGATTTGGCAGTGGACTACTGCAACATTCTCGTCATTGCCACCTACTGCCACCGGCAGTCCCTCGCCCACCTTGCGCAGTCCGCCACTACAACAAAATTCAGCCCATAAGAGCCCGCACTGATAAGATATAAGAACAGCACCATCCCATCTATTGTTAAAATAATAAACATCTCCTGATTTATGTACTGTACAGCCCTGTAAATGTACTGAACGTATATTATTATGTCTAAATCACATGTAAGTTTGTATATTTTCAGCAACCGGCTGCAACTCTATTAATAAACCGTTTATTATTAATATTAACTATTATTACACACATACACACGCTACCCCATGCATGCATGCATGCAATAATTTGATGATAAAATAGTAACATTAATAGTTTCTGTCCTAAAAATAAATCTTGAAATTAAAATAATGTACTGTGCAATATTTAAGAGAAGTATAAGGTGATGTTGTAGCCAGATGTGAAGTGGGGAATACTGGATAGTGAGGGAGGGGCTATGGGATCAGTTATGTATTTTTCTGGAGCGAGATGACTCATAAAACAAATACGTGTTCTTCATTTTGTACTAACGGAACTTCTAGCACCAAAATTTCTAGTAGTTAAATTGTTTTTATTGTTCATTAGATTTTAAGTTTTGTATATGTAAATTTCTGTAAATCAGACAAAAATTACTTATCAAATGATCATAATAGATAAACAATTTATATATATGAGGCCCAACTTACAGTAAGTTGCTCTGGTGGTGGCAGCTCCAACTTGTCCCAGTGTATGTTCCATTTTTGGGGAAGGTGTCCCAGTTCCAGCTCTAGATGACGGAGCTCCTCCAGCTGAGCAGAGAATGCATCTTGTTCCACTCCCCATACACAGTCGTACCTGTAGCAGTACATCACACTAGGGTATAAGGAGTGTCAGTAAGCTGTACTAAGTTATACAGATTCCATGTGGGAAGCTACCATTCATTTTAATAACTGTTCAATGGATGGACAGTAAACCCCTAGATTGACAGGGAATATGTAAGCAAAACTACTTTCTCATGTAGTGAAGTACTGTAGTGAGAAAAAACAGCCTCTTACCAGCTTATGTTTATAGCAAAAATTTACAAGAATATTTAAAACTGCAATATGGTTCATTTTGAAGTCATTGACCCATCCTTGGAACTTAACAAGCTCTCTGACTACTGTTATTCAACACCATCCAAGATATCATGACAAATGACTCATTTATTAAGAATTAGAGATGGGAATGTAGACACAAACTCACAAGACTGTGTAACACCTCAATCGCATAAGCTGTTAAAATCAATAAAAAAAAAGAACTTAACCATACTAACCCGCTCATGACAATTTTACGCGGAGAGGTTGTGATTGTGCCATCTGCTGCCTCAGCTTCTTCTTCCTGTTGTCTGTCTAAGCTCCGAACTTCTGGGTCATATGATGGTCCATGACGTAGCTCCTCTCCGAGTAGGTAACTCCACAACTGAAGAGCGCTCACTTCTTTTACTGGTCGTAGCACCTTCAAAATGTTAAAATGTTACAAATATACAAAGACATACATAAAAGACAAACATACATCGTTAGACATCTAGAGGAAAAAATACAGATACAGTATATAAATAATACAAAATATTTACACCATCCCTTCCTACGTCCCTGTACTGGGTGGAGTGATCCCGCATGTACCTGACCACAACAATAACAAACACCAGCTATGGGCAGTTTCTGTATGCCATTTGCCTCTGTCTACCAATTGGCGGGTTATCCGGTCTTCCCGGACTATTCCTCGACACTGTGTCATGCAGCTCGTTAACTTAGGGTGGTTGTTGTGATGGTGACCGCTTCTACACCTTAAAACAAATTCACGCCTAGGTTGCCCTTGGGCCGCCATCCTTGTTACACGAGAGGCAACCATTATTATTATTACCCACGTGCCCAAATATGCCGAGATTTTCCCAGATAATTTTCTTTAACTCGGCATTCCCCCCCCCGAGTTATTTTAAAATAAATTCCGACACCATATACGTGCCGAATTATATGAGATATTGATTGCTGAGTTATCAAGGGTTTAATATATATATATATAAAAGAATCAAGAACAATAGAAGAAACAAAAGCAGGTTCACTTGAGATGTCAAACCCTCCTCACCTATGACTGAAAATGTGCGAGAAACATATTTCATAAATTTCAAAACAGAAATGCTAAGTGATTTACATGAGGAGAGTGAAAGGTAAGAGGGAGAGTCACCTAAATGACCTTATCCAGAAGACTGCGAAATTAACAAAGCTGGGATGCTATTTGCCCTAACAGTTTGGGATTTCTGAGGTCATATGGTACCTTTTTAGGCATATACTAAACAGTAAGCCCCTTGTTATTCGCGGGGGGTCAGGTTCCAAGGAATGGGTGAGTAGGAAAAACAGTGAATAGCAACCTATACTATACCTTAGTGCATTACTGTATACCTATACTAAATAACCAACCAGCCATGATATCACTCATACCCTCTTTTAACTTATCTAATAATCCAATTTTCTTTGTTAGGGTCATTACTAACTTCTGCCTTTTACATTTTATTCCACTAGCATCACTAGCACTGATACTAGGCAGTTTTTTAGGGGCCATTTCACACAGAAACTCTAACATTTTGAGAGTACAACATGAGATACTGTGTGGGGTGACTCACTGCGCTGCGGGAAAAGGCTTGCAAGCTAGCCACCATCTGCTTACAGTGAATCGTCGAAATCACGAATCACAAACCCATGTACTGGTAAAAAGGTACACATGCAAAACAATAAACTGTGGAATGAGACTTGTCCTTGGTGAGGAATAAGGATACAGAGGAATTATGAGTTTTAAAAGATGAGCACTTGTTATGAGATTAAGGAGGTCATCTATGTTGTGTAATCTAGCTTTCAAAGTAAAGTATTTATTTTGTTTCATTCCAATTGCATGCACAATAATTTTGAAGTCCTGTAAGATCCTTTTACCAGCTAGAAAAGATTACTCATGTACTTTACTGTACATTTCTATTCATATCTAGGTTAAGGCACTAACTTTATAAAATTATAAATGAACAGTAAGCCCCTAAACCTGTACTTAACATAGACATTTCTGACTAAAGTATATGCCCAAATCTGTACATACAGGTAAACTTGTGGGAATTAATTTCCACCTTTATCCTCCAGGTCCTTGAAGCACCTTAATAGTGATCTTGTGTGTCATCGGACTTGGAATAACATTCCAATGTGGTATATGTAAATAGTTTGCTAATTAATTGATTTAATTAACTAGTTAGGGAAATGATTACGTGGAGTGTATAAAATTAGTGGTAAAATCACTATTGCCACCCGCAAGACGGATTACTTCACGGGAAGTAGTGCGGTATTCCTCTTTCTCTATGGATCACATTAATATCGTTTAATTTACAAGATATCGGTGGTAGTAGTTAACTTAAAATGTAAATATGTATTTCTATTAAGAAATAGTATTTTAAAGAAAGCTAATAATGAATATTCAGTTCTTGTTTATGTATCACTGCACGATTAGGTCACGCAATTGTATAAGGCGGTAGAAGCGCCATTTTCATTTCACACTTCATGGAAGGCAGACGCAACTCTCCAAAATCAAGCAGACAGCCGGCAACCCAAGGGCATTCTAGCTTCTCAGTTCCTCCAAGACTCTCTACAACTCATAGCAGCCCCTAAAATAACAGCTAAGTACCTTTTTAAAGTTTAGGTGGTCACTTATTCTTGGGTACCGCCATTTTAAGCGTACAGGGCTAGCTTAGGTAATTATATTATATATTTTTTTTTATTATATTTTGATAACTTAGATTTAATATCTACAATACTAATGTTTCTGTGCTAAAAGGGAATAAAGACATATGTAGCTTCAAATTTCATGGTCACACATTTCAAGAAGTGTGTGTAAAGACAGACTTTACATAACATAAAAATCTATAAATTTGTCAAAGACTGCTATACAAAGTTGCTGAAGCAAATGCTTGCATACAATACAACATACAGTACTTACCGCCGAGTCATTTATTCTATCACCCATATAGAGAAAGTTGTGGAAGACTGTGGAGCGTCCACTGAGTTTTTCTATATAATCAAATACAGATTGTCCCAGATGACCTGATGACCCAGGAGACCCTAATCGACCCCCTGAAAATAAAACAAACATAAGATTCCTTGTCATCACCCCACCAGTCAGTCAGTGAGCTCTATGTTTAACTGTGTTAGAACTGTATAGACATAATAGTTTACTGGAGGAGTTCTTTATGGTTATGCTGATTAGTGGTCAGATTCAAGAGCAAATATAGATTCCTTTCACATACATTTCTAGTCATTCACACTACAGACACACCTCTATAAACCACTTGATGTAATGTTCTGTAGTTCACATTCTCTTCTGCTTACTACGGTACTATGTCCATCCCCTGCACTTCTAGTTCTTCCTTTTTCTTCTTACAATCTCTCTCTTCTCTCTCCTATCATTTCTGCCATTTACCTACGACTTTCTTCTTTTCAACCCTTTACTCTCTATATGTGACCACCTTATTTCAATAATATCTTAAAATCTTTCTCCAGTTTATCAACTTTTACAGGTCACTCCCATTTATTTCAGCTTCACAAGAACTGGACTCACATATATGCAGTATACTTTTTAAACTCAAATTTCATTCATGCTGGGCTAAGGTTTACACATGTGTACTGTAGATGTGCACTGCACCTTTCATCTTTCCCATATGTGATACATCATGGAAAAACTTCAAGGTGCCAGAATACAGATGTAACACTGTCCAGATTGCTTTCTTGTCCTGATTTGCCTAGCATTTCCATAATTTCTAGTGTTGTTCAAAGTAAAAACAAAAAATTGTCATCTGATAACAGTACATACAACTTTAAACATTGATAGGTTTACGGTATACAAAAGAGTTTAAACTCAAAACATAAGGTACATTTTCTGCCTGCATGTGTTACAAGATCTTGATGTTTCTTGGAGACACTAGTAAGATGATGGAGAGAATATTTAAAGACAAAATGACAAGGGAATTTTCTACCCCAAATTATACTGTATTTTAGATTTGAAACATTAAATTGTCCCATTTACTGATGCTACACTGTAAACATGAAAGTAGATAAAAAAAAATTATTGCAAGTTGATTTTTTTCCTGTTTTCACTGTTAATACAAACTACAGTAGTTAATTAATGTACTGGAAATACAAATATGTTGTAAGAAGTAATATGACACTATATGTCCCCGACACTGACTACAATAGCATCATCTCATGCCAGGCAAGAGGTCCAGGACTTGATCAGTGTCTGAAGGAATGTCAACTGCATCTTTATCAACACTGTCACTGTCTCAGCCTTACCAGCATCCTTCTTGAATCCAAGAATTGTCATAAAGGCTTTCAACATGTCTGTGACAATAGTGAGGACCTAGTTTTCAAGGTTGAAGCTTGTGGCAATCTCACAGTAGGCAGCATGAATCTTCTCTGCAGTGTGAAAACTGGCATTAACAGTAAAAGATCTGTGAAAGTGGTGAGGCCCCATAGTGACCAAGATCACTGTCAGCTTGTCAATGAGTGGGTGGGAAAGGAGTCATGCAACAACCAGACATGTACCAGATGTGTACCAGTCTGGTACACATATTGTATGTGGCTATCATATTATACTCTGGTACAGTACTGTACTACCAGTTTAAGGATATATCAAGAGTTTAGGCTTAATAGAAAAATCTTGAAAATAATCATCATAATCAAATTGTAATCACTAATTATAATATTTGCTTGTATTGATTGTGATTTCTATAATTATTATTACATTTAAAAAACCCTGATTTGATTTTGATTGTAACTTTACAATAATTCTCATTATGATTACATCATAATCAGAATTGCATATGATTATAATGACCTCATGTTTGAAACATATAACAAAACTATTTACATACCTCCTGGATAAATATCATCATCCTGGCTTGCTTCGAGGCCTTTGTGGTGCCGAGAGAGTGAGCCTCTCTTGTCTTCTTCTGTCATGATACCCATCTCAGCTCTATCTACCTCCGAGTCACACAAAAAAGTGCGGAAACGTGCAGAAACATAATGGTAGGCCAAGAAGCGGAGGTAGTACTCGTTGAATTCAAAAGACAAAGGGAACTGTCGTTGGATCTGTAAGCAGGTATGATTGTTAATATCATTCACATTACAGAAATTTGCCCCTACAAAATTCAGAAGTTATGACCACTATTTTGGGATACAAAAATTGCACCCTAAAAAAAAAAAAAAAAAAAAAATTTTTAGATTAAAACAATTTATATGGACTTCATTATGTCTTTGTTTACCAGCAAGTGTGCCAGTCTTGTCTACACCTGTAATAGTATGTAAAGCGTGATCCTTCCACTTCCTTGCTTCGTAAACCTCTTTAATATTGATATGATCTTTAGCTTCACAGTGTTTTCCCAGTTCGTTGGGTTCCAGGTTTATGTAACATGTTGCTTGGGTTGGCTTTATGTTGAGCATCACATGTATTTAACAGGAATTTTTCCAACTTTACCCTCTTAGTATTTGCTTTCATGCATTTCTGGTAAGTTTAATTTAAGTCTTTTGTCTATTATTATTACTTTGCATTACAGTGGTCCCCAACCTTTTGTAGGCTCTGGGACACATTATCATTGGAACTATAGTGGAGGTGCACCAAAACTTTGGATTTACATTCAAGAGGCAAAAATCTCATATATACTGTACAGTTATTTACAGTTTTACAAGTCTGTTACCAGATACATACTTTTAACATTTACTCTTGGACAGGACGTGTGTGTATTTACCCCAGTGAGAAGGCTGGCTCTCCCTCTGGGTCCGGTCTGGGGTAAATACACACATCCTGTACATGACAGTTGTATCAAGTTATTGCAATTTTCATTAATTTCACTCTTACAAATAATTCACGGGTGCAACGAACTACAGGTTGGGGGGCCACTGCTTTACAACATAAATTATTCAATTTTCCACTTAAGATGTGTTGAAAAAGGTTTACATTCATTTGTTACTTTTTTTACTGTCTTTTGGTTGAAGAATCTTTCCTTCCATAATGCAGAGGATGCCTGTACCTTCACCTCAACATCAATATGCAGGGTTCATACTGCCAAACACCACTGGCATATGACATTTTTTTTATACCCAGGAAAAATATATACTGTATATATTTTTTTCAAGATGGATTATAAAGGAAATGGCATTCCCCACCCTTATTCTGTAAACCTTACTTGGTTATCAGATGTGTATAAATTGTGGTGATGAATTAAATGTTGGTTATCAGATGTGTATGAATGCTGGTGATGAATTAAATGTTGGTTATCAGGTGTGTATGAATGCTGGTGATGAATCAAATGTTGGTTATCAGGTGTGTATGAATGCTGGTGATGAATCAAATGTTGGTTATCAGGTGTGTATGAATGCTGGTGATGAATCAAATGAACTGACTGTTAAAGTATTTTTATTTTCTAAATCTGAAGAATGTCTTGGACAGTAATTTAAAATCTCAAAGTGTGAAAACAGAATTTTAACTTATTTTTCTGCTTTTCCTCTCTACTTCTAAGTTTAGGTTCTGGTTCCTAATGCCTCATTTGCTAACTGGAGAAAAGGAGAAAAAATTAATATTATAATTACACTGAAATGTAGTGATGAGTTTATTTCTGGCAAAGACAGTAATGGTACAGGTGGTACATAATAATTAATGTACATAATATCAGAGGAGGATTACCAAGTGTGAAGGTGTTAAAGCAAACATGACATCAGTATTACTCACCAAATTAAAACCAATACAACTAACACAGTCTCACCTGGTGCACAGCATCAAGAAACTGTAGAAAGATGGGAGCAAACCCACTTGCTTGAGATCCCTGAAGGAGATTCGACCGGTGGTTGAACCTGTGACCAAATGCCAACCATTCCTTCTCTACCAGAACTCGAAAACCTTCAATTGTTCGGTAGTATGGGTCAAGACACAGCTGAGCTATGCTAGTTACCTGAGGATATCAAACATTTCATGACCGACCAACAATACAATACTTTTTTTTTTATTAGTGTTCTTTTTATTTATTTCTCACAGTTACAGAGTAATACAATAGACCGCAGAGGGATAAAAATGCCACAGTTGGTAAAATGGTATAAGTAGAGTGAAAACCGTGGATACGTGAAATGTGTGGTTGGCGAGGGTCTACTATTGTATATGTATAGATAATTATATTGCAATGGATAAAACAAATGAATAAGAAAATTTTGGCCAATATGTACCCTGAGATGGTGAGAATATGATGGTCACCTCCAGCCAAAAAATAATACTTCTAGCATGTTGCTTGACAATCTTACAAAAGAGCCCTGGCATATTTATAGTTGAAAAAGCCTTAGGGTGCCACTTATGTGTATATATACAGTACTTTAAGTAGAGTAGACTAATGGTTAAATGTTTATGTCTCTATAGTTCAGATGTTTTGAGATGATGCTAAGCATTTACTATTGAATCTCAGGTCCCATATATCAGTCTTAACTGTGTTGGTGTCACTAAAGGTAAGTTATTTAAATAAGTAAACCTCATCAAATCCAAATGAGCATTAAACAATTCTGGTCATCAACAAAAGAGTTGAGCTAAGCTGAATCTAGTTTGAGGACTCTACTGTAGAAGACCTTCTGGCAAATGTACAGTGTATTAATAAAAATCAATGGTCAATCACTGAAAGATCAAGTAAACTAAATTGGCAAAATTTAATTCGTACTTGAGCAGTAAAGTCCCAGCCATCCTCCAACAGCACCATAACGGATGCACCAAGCAGGTCAATGAGGTCTACTATGGCCCCTGAAACCTGTAGTAGAGATTCTAGCTGGTTCAGCCACTCGCTGCTCTCAATTGATCTGAAAATAAATAAAAAAATTAGTAAGTAAAACAAAGCGTGAGGGATAACCTTATTCTTATGCATCATATTCAGAAAGGTGTTTTGTTTCCTTTAAATTAAAATATCAATATAATTATCTGAAAATAAAATCGATTAAATATGACCATATATATTAACAGCCAAAACCTAAAGCAGGATGTGCCATTCAAATAGCACACAAGGGTCCAGGACTTGTACCTATCTGGCCTGAACTTGTGTTACATAACTATAATCAAGATAGAATCTCATTGCAACTTTTAAGTCATTTCCGAGATTTATCGTAACTTAAGGCAACAAGATAGGTGCATTCTTACACCTTCACCATGAAGAAGAACAACTGTACAAACCTTGAGAATCTGAACCTTGGACTAATATACACCACCATGTGTCACAGAAACAGTTCAGTTCTAGTGCCAGTGTGTGACCAACCTGTGTTACTTCCATCATGACTTCTGAGTATCACATCAAGACCCAAATTTCCCTCTAAGTTTAAGTGTCACCAGTGCCAGGGATTTCGTGGTCTTGGAATACAATATCGTGATATAAAGGACTGACTGCAATCGTCCTTTCAACATACTGGACCCATTAATTCTAAAAAGTAAAGGGCCTCAGAATATGGGTGCAGCCATTGAAACTCTTATGGACTTTCTGCTATGAATAGTAACATTTAAATCATTTTACAATCTTTTTACTTTCGAAATGATGAATCCAAATATGATAGAGGTTGGAAGATAACTGCAAACACAGTACTACCCTTAAGGTCAAAACATGCTGCAATGTTCATCCACATAACTTCAATCATAAAAACAAATTCTGTCTCATATTAGAAGTTATCTGTCTACCTGTAAATGTTTCAATTGCATCAGTGTCTTGTTATTATAATGTACAGTCGCCTTCATTAATGCTTTACAGGGGCTTGTCAGGTTTTGTGCAGTATGGCAGCACTGTGTTTGTTTACATTCAACAGAAGGAAACTTGCAATAGAAAACATACTAGGAATCAAATTAAAAGAATATTAAAACAAATACCTAAAAGATAATGATTTGTGGAATATGGACAGTGCATTCGCTCCAAAGGGTATCTTTATGGAGGGGTACAATGAAATTCAAAACAAACAGTGTGACTCTTGTTATATAAGTAGGATTGTCAAAATCCTTCATCTGTTGACATATTGTCTCACACAAAATCATAAAGATGCTTTTTGGAGTGAGTGTCCATGATGACAAGCCAGTATGGACCCCAGAAAATGTGTTGTTAATGATGAGCAGCCTACTTATGGCATTGATGTCATTAAAAATGCTGACTTAAGACAAGGGTGTACCACTAAAGTAACAAAACACCAGGAATCAGTCAACACAAAGTAGCATAAAAGGAATATTTTACTCACTTACATTCTAAAGGGACATTTACCACAATGCACACAGAAACAAAGAGCCTGTTTCATGTTACTTGCAACATCAGCCTGCAAATGTACAATTAACATAAGATTTACCTGAAGAAGGACTGCTCCTGCTCTGCAGCTGGGGAGGAAGGTATACAGGCTCTCATCAGCTTCTTGAATGATGATTTAATTTGTCGTACCTCTGTGTAGTCCACTGGGATGAACTCGGTTTTATGGTAAGCATCTGTCTTGATGCCCTGATAGACAATATGGTACTTTAAAAAAAATGATATATATATATATATATATATATATATATATATATATATATATATATATATATATATATATATATATATATATATATATATATATATATATATATATATATATATATATATATATATATATATATATATATATATATATATATATATATATTTATGCTGATAACCACAAGTAAATAACTCCCAGGAAGCCCCATGATCAGACAATTCAATGTGAACGAAGTCAAAATTGATGCTTGTATCAAAGATGAAAATGAAGAATAGCACTAGCAGGAAAATTAGTTTAACTGATATGATGTACTAAATGAGGCTGAATCACCACCTGTTTGCATCTCAAGAGAGTCAGCTTCCTGATGATAACCTGTTCTACACATCAATCTAGTCAACCTGGGCTTGTTCAAGTTTATTACACTTAGATCTAACCCTAGTCTAAGGGAAGAGAAAAACAATGACTGAATGCACAAGCCATCACTCCAAAATTCATGGCAAGCCAAAAAATTATGAATGAATGCTTCTTGAATGGCATAAAATTATTTGCAAGACAGTAATCCCAAAGGTCACAACTACAACTATAGCAAGAACATGCAGGAACTAAACAGCAATAACTGAAGGAAAAAAAAAAGCCTTGTAAAATGTAATTTGTATATAATATTTCATAACAGAAATATTCAATACCAGGGGCAGAGGAACATGGCGAGCACAGTGAGCCCACCCAACTGAGAGGGGGCTGTAGAGTGCCCCCCCAAACTTTTTCTTTAAATCCTTCCAATATCATAGGCATTTTGAAACCATGTGCACTCGATATTAGGAGATATTCTTAAGTCAATAGTAATTACATTTTACTATACAAAAACACCTGAGTACAATACTGCATTAAAGAAAGAGTATTGGAATTTTCTGATGAAAAGGAGGGAGAGGAGGATCCAGACCCCCAGGAGGAATCCCAAACACAGTACATACAGGTATCCCTCATATAATGTTGAGGTTGCGTTCCTGAAAAACCTAAAGTTAAGCAAAATTTTTGCTAAACGTGGGATAACAACAGAGCACAGAGAGAGAAAAACAGGTTCAAACGGCAGAACGGTAAACACTGAGTATACAGTATTGTACTCAGTAATAATACCTGTAATAATAAACGAGTTTATTATAAACTGTTTTGAAATTAAACGATTGATTAATTAACACCAAACACCTATATAAACTATGTGATTCAGAGTTAAATGATTTAGTAAGCACCATGTGAGCCTAATTCGAACATATTTCAAATTGAATACTTTGTCAAAAATTAAAAAAAAATTGCTATGATAAACAATAAAATTTATACATAACATATCATAAAATACAACAGCACATATTTTATACTGTATATATAAGATACAGCTCCTTCCACACTCAAAACATCCTCCAGGTGATGTGACAGACTTCAGTCAGGCAGTTACCCAGCTGACTCAGAGATGAGCAAGTGTATGCCGTGATATCACATCTGGGGAGGAAGCGTGGCTGGGCTCGTGATGCAGCTACAGCCCAGCCCAGACCCCCAAGAATGCACGCAAGCATAAACACACACACTGCCCTTAATTTTTCTTTGTTATAGTGTTATAGTTTTATATTATATTTTCTACATATCTAAGCCACTTTAGAGTATTGTAATGATTTTCCCACAATTTTTATAGTTTCATTACATGTAACAATGGCAACATTCCATCACAAATGCCACCTTATCCCCAGTTTTTCCCCTTCCCAGTGAGTCAAGCTATCACTAACTGAATTTTGACCTAACGTTAAATGAGAAAGGGTGTAAATCTCCAACAGAAATCTAAAATGGAGATACCTAAAAATAATTATTTCCTCCTGATACTTAATGTAACATATGCTGATGGCTTACTATAGCATATAATAGTACAATTAAACAGCTAATATTTATGTGCAGTACTTGATAAATTATCTGTCACTGCATTAAAGCAAAAATAAAAATTAATTGCATACCAAAGTGACATCTTCAAACTTTTAAAAATCATTTCAAGAGTTTGTGGTAAAGAAAATTAACTATAATATCATCATACCTTAATTTGAGTCTTTTCACCAAAAACATAGAGAGCAGCCTTGTGGAAGGATTGTACCGCTTCAGAGCCGGTGTCGGAGGAGTCAACAGAGAGTCTTGGCCCCGTGCTGATGCTGGAACGAAGGGCAGGGGTGGTTGTAGGGTAGTGGCGGAGGGTCCCAAAGGTCCCTCCAGCACCACCACCGGACAGCACACCTGGTCGTGACCCACGCATGGAGCCCCACCGCCCCATCCTGCCAGTACCCTTGCCCCCGCTTGTCCTGATAAAACGGGCAGGGGGGAAGGTCAGTATGATCAACAGTGGGCCACCTGGAGACCTGACTGAGTGACTGGCTGCCCGGATGTGAGGGGGTGAGCTTAAGAAGAGGAGGAGACGGTGAAGCATGCAGGTAAAGTATCAGGAAGAGGAGGCATAGGAAAGACAAGTTGTCTATGGTCAGTTGATAATACAGTACAGGTATGTGTGTAAGAATGTACAAAAAGATACCGTATATACTGCTAAATGCATACCATTAAGCAAATGTCTATAATTCTAGTCTATAGGCTGTCTTCCTGTCAGAACAAAGCAGAATTGCTAAAGCTTTAAAAACAGAATATAGTACTGTACACCCTTCCCCAGAAACAACCATTAAAAATAAAATAACATACAAAATCAGAAGTAGTCACTGGTGATGTGAACACTCAAACATAAGTAATTTTTCTCTATGCTTCAATAAAAAAAAATGAAATGTCAAGCTGGTACCTGTTCATGATAATGCCTATTACATGAAGGGACATCCTCTTAACTTTTTAGCTGCAACATTTGACCGCTGTTGAGACTTTTTTGTAATTAAATACAATACTCAACTTTCGTCAATGTCTTTGAAAAAGTGCCTCGACTCTCCCTTTCCTATGTGACAGACTACACCACCAATAACTGCTGTCATTTGGTGAGATTTTCACACAAACAATGACTTCACTCAGCTGATCATTGCAATAAACAATGTGATGCATTATCTCTCTGTCCTCCTCTTTACTTTGTTTACACCATTACGGGCAGTCCCCGGGTTATGTATGAGCTCCATCCCTAAGAATGCTCTAAGTAAAAAATGAACTTGAGTCAAACCACATACACTTTGTGCATACTGTACTTAAAGAACCTTTTTTAAAATCCCACAATATCATAGCCTTATACAGTATACATCTAAAATCACTTAATTTAAGAGAAAAGAAGAAATAGAATGACAAAATGCTGTAAATAAAACAAGTAATCGGGTAATTAAATATTGTAAATTTAAAGTTTAACTTTTTGTGACCTTGTTTGTAAGTTGGATGTACGTAACCCGGGGATCTCCTGTTTTTGAAAAATAATTTATGTTTTAATGTGAAGGTATGCTGAATAAATATGTTAAGTACAAATAAAGATACAATAAATATTGATAATATACGATGTTTCTGATGATTGTTATGAGGAAGCAGCACGTGGCTGAACAGTGTATAATTAAATCTGACCATTTATTTTTCTCCCAATGTTATCCAGATGTATATTTCTTACATCATAGTACAAATAAAAATTGATTGATACGGGTATTACTAAAATCTTGCCTAAGTAGAGTGTAAATAAATCTTTATTTTTCTGCTGCTTAATATTGTTTTTATGAAATATTAATGTCAGATATGAAAATTTTATAAACTTACCAAGATTAAAATGTAGTAAAATGGATCAATTATCATTTTCAAATTTTCTGGAGATTTGAAATTTCTTGGGAATGCAGCTGGAACTAATCACATAGCCAAGGGTTAAGTTAGAGAAATCCATCATCAGAGACTTTAACATGACCAGTGACCAGCAATGTATAAGTGGCCAGCTATTTGAAAAAAAATGACCAGCTCTGTTCACAAGTGACCAAATCTATGCACAAGTGACAAATATGTGCACAAGTGACCAACTCTGTGCACAAAAGACCTGCTCTGTTCACAAATGGCTTGCTCTATACAGTACATAAGTGCCAAGTGTTGTGCACAAAAGATGAAGTATGTGTGGTACAATGCATGAAAATTAACATGTAGCCAACCTTTTCTAGCCTTAAGACTCTGAGCCCAGGTCTTATGAGCTGTAGAAGCAGAACATAATACCTAAACCATGCAGTTCCATCACAGAAACTTTGCAAGGGTATCAGTCATAATGAAGACGACATAAAAATTCTGAACGAAAAAGGTGTGACAGGCCAAATTATAAGAGATTGATATTGAACACTTAAAGCACAAATTGTTTCAGCTTAATTTGAGTCTTCTTTTGAACTATTCAATAAGTAATTGAATAAAACTGAAGGCATACTAATGAACTCGAGATGTGTGGAAGACGTGTTATTTCTATGTAAATACTGTACCACAAAAAACTTCTTGAATGCTCCACAGTGTATTGTCTAAAATTAACTTAATACACAAATCAAACCTGAGAATTAGGGGAGGGGGTTTATTTACAGAAAAAATGAATTAACAGCAACTAAACAATAACGTTGTAGGGAGGCAATGATTTTTATTTAAAGAATAAGAAATAACATATAAAAAAATTACTAAAAAGAAAGTAAAGGGAAGAAATTATGTATTCATGGTGAATCAACAGTCCAGACCTAAGGGTGAGCTGCACTTTGTCTTCCATTCAAAAAATGACCACACTGCTTGGCACTAGATCAAATACATTATCAATTATGTAACAAAAATACTGTATGACTCAACTTGATTGAACATATCTCGTCTAGTTTTAGTAAATTCATTCTGAAGGTGCTCAGACAGCTGGTCAATAATGTGTGGTGACTGAAGATGTAAGCCACTGCTTAATCAAATATATGTTCCAGAATAAATATACAATACAGTATGTCTATGCTTAATATAATATAAACTTAACACTTGATGAAGTAAAGAGTGTAACCTGCCTGTGAATCTAGACTTTTGATTCATTTTGTGTGTGTGTTTGTGTGTGTTAAATTCATATTTTGTGGTAAAACTTGAGTCACTCCCACATATTAAAGCTTTCATTAATTGTAGTAAGAGTGAGGAAGTCTAAGAAAACTAAGTTGTTTGATGAAGAATAAAATATGTTCAAGCAGTCACTATTGATGTGAAACATTGACAGTAGTGCACAGGGTATGATGATGACCATGTGCTAAACACATTCTGCAAAACCTTGCTTTAAAGAATGACATAATGCAGATTCCTTTTAACACCAAACTAAAAATTAAACTGTTTTTATACTGCATAATTGGAGCAAAAATTTTAAACTAAAATTTTATACACAACCAGTGAAAATATTATAATAATGAAATAAAATAAATGTAATTCTAGGAGCAAACATCAAAATGCAAAAATGCAAACAACAATGCAAAATTAAAAGCATCAAGGCACTCACTATGCAAGGTTCTACAGACAGGTTTATCTAATTTCTAACATGCTAAGGCCAAGCTGATTTACACTGCATGCAATAAAGTTAGTGGACTAAGCATTACGGAGTTAACATGTGCCTTTCTTTCACAATAAAAAAAAGAAATAGCAAGAACCTTGTCCAGTCCAGGACATCACAGTAATATCATTAAAAACTAGTATTGCATATTACAGTACAATTTTATGAGTTTAAAATAATCTTCATAAATTAGTTAATTATCTATGTGCTATGTCTCAAACATGATCTATAGTTTTATATCAACCCTTTGTCAATATCTAGTATACTAATGCTTCTTGTGTGCCCACCTCCTCACTTCAGGTGCACCTTTCATCCCATCCTTCCACCTAATGCTTGGTCCCCACCCCCGTCTCTCTCTCCTGCCACTCTTTTCATCAATTCTTTGACTCCCAAACTCTCTTTAAGTTCATACCACCAAATCAAAGCTCAATTAGCTCTGCTTGACAATCTTTCACCTTCAAATCTTCTCATAATTCCTATATTTCTGAGTCTCAGTATCCTATTTACCCCACTAACTGTTATCTGGCACTTCATTTCTTCTGCTTTGAATCTGCACATGGTCCACACTCACAAATAATGTTGACTCGATACATTCTCTACACTTCCCTACTTTTAACACCAGCGACACAACTTTCTCTCCATACCTTTCTCAGTGCACCCTTTATTTTGTATCCCCCCACCACTCCTCCTTTCACTTACTGACACGTCCACTCTTGGATAGCTATAATACTCAACGTCCTCCATTCAAGCTAACCTTTCATTTCTTCTTTAGTATCACAGTAATTTTATTCACATTTACTTTATCCTTTTCCTGGTACATATTCCTTCATATCAATCACTATTAATTTTTGTAACTTTTCTTCCACCAATTTACCCACTACAGCAGCTTCATCTGTAAACAGCAGCTGACCCACCTTTTATTTCAGGTGCATCCCAAATCATAACTAATTAAACCTGCAACCCTCTCCATCAGTCTCACTCTCAACTCCCTTAATGCACAATCCATGGAAATATTAAATAATCAAGTTAATGTAGTATTTTATTATGTATCCTTGGTGAAGTTCTTCCTACTTCCAAATTATTAGGAGTTGATTATAAACTTTAAATTCCTAAATATGTAGGTAAGTCTTTGCTGTAGCTGGCATCATCAAAGAGTTCTTATGTGATGTTGAATAGACATAGTTAACATCTTAACGCTTATTAATGACAGTGCACAGGTTGTAATTAACATTAATGAGAAACTTGCAAGTGATGTTGCATAAACTGGAGTTAATATTTTTAAGAAACTTATAAATAATGTTGCAAAAAGTAAGAGTAGAAGAGAGCAAAGCAGTTCCAAGCAGCACTGTAATGATGTGATGGAAACTATATCTGGTGGATTTATTTCCATTTTTCAATATTATGAGAGTCAATGGAGAGTGATTTTCAAAGGGGTGTCATGATAGCAAATTTTTAAGAAGAGATGAAAAATTTTATGCATCACATCATTGTGAGATAAGAGATTTTGATACAACACAATGCCAATACTCAGTCAGTGCTCTACAAATAAGGTTAGTCTATACATAACTGTTGGTAATATTGATCAAAATTAGTACACGTGCTAACATGACTTTTAAAAATATAAACCAGGAGGAGGATTCTCAAAGTTTCCTATGTTAAGTTTTCCTACGATCTGCAGATATTAGAACACACTTAACTGGATGATTTCAGCTAAAGCAAAAATAAAATGAGAAAAGGCATTAAAATTACATTGATAATCATAAGTTAACACCATCCAATTAGGAGGAAAATTAACATATAGAATCTTTGTGAATTCAAACCCAGCAACACAAAATCTACTGTCATATTACTTCAAAGCAAAGACACACTTAGAAGCTTTAAATACACTGTACAACAACTTGCAACATTATTAGACATAAAACTGTTCAAAACAACATAAAATACTACCTTCATGCACCATGCGATGTACAGCTGTAACAATATCAAGGAACATCACTGGTGGTTTGGTTTGTTAATAATCCTTATTTCATAAAGGGGGTGCAGGGCAATGTTTACTGACAACTGAAGAAAAACAACCAACCACTGTAATCCTGGATAATGTCAGTTTGTTTTCAGTTTCACAAGGCCAGAGCTATACTTTAATAGTTCCTTCCTTAAACTCCTGATAGATCTGACCTTATCTACTCAAGACCATCTAAATATGCAATGCTCAATGACTTCCAAATTCTGAATTACAAGACTGGGAGATTATATTTCTTTTGAATGGAATTAGTAACATGAGGTACATAATTGATCAAATCTAATGACCTATTCTTAACTTTCACAAATATCATATTGATGTAAATACTTGATAAAAAAAGTGAGAAAAATTAAAGAACTTGTGTTATTTAACTTGGATAGCTAGTTTTTGTAATTCAGGTGGTATTAGTTTTTTGTTAGGGAGCTAATATTACACACTTACTCTGTCGCGTTGAGGAGAGAAGCAGATGTGTTATGGCGATACTACTCGAGCATGTATGGGTGCGAGTCCACACATGTCCCATGGGGTTAAACAAGTCCGTATGAATCCACGACTTTGCCATCAAATCCTATAGATAACTTACCGTAATGTGTTCATGGCCTTCGAAAGAGGATTTGTTTTTCTGCCAACTTCAGGTGTGAGTGTTGGGTATGTAGGATGATATGGAGGAACTTCTAGGGTTGCTCCCCCTGCAGCCAGCACCAGGGAGTTTATAGAAAGGGACGAGTCTGTCAGTCGCCAAGAGGAACCATCCCGAAGGACAGACACAGGTGTTGACTGAACCACTGCTGCTAAAAATTTCTCCTGCTCAAGTGAGAATGACACTTCACTTGTGTTGCCTGTGAAGAAATCATTAATATGAATCATGCATGAAATTCCTCATTCAATTTAAAATATCTCATGCTAGCCTCAAGAATCACCAATGGGAATTGATTCTGAAATCCATGTTTATAACAGTGACTAAACTGGAGGATCCAAGTAATTCTACCAGTCATATCTACATAATTATTCCTCAAGCTACTCCCAAAAACAGTAACTGTAGACTAATCAGATGAATAATCAAACCTTTTCCCCATAACCAAAACACTGAAACAAGGGGTTTTTTGGAGGCAATAATCACAAATCAAGTTAGAAAACTGTCAAGTCATATTCACATAAGCAGCATATTCATCTCCAGTACAGTACAGTGTTCAAGGAAACTTCCGAAGATAAAATTTGTGCTTCTCTTGATTTATCCCAGGTTTGTTGAAGCAGCTTAAAGATGAGGTTCAGATAAATAGAAAATGCATATAATTTACCTGTGGTTGTGGGAGGTCCTTTGAGCATACTCATTACACCCTTTCCATGAAAACCAGCACCTCTCAGAAGCAAAGCTTTCGTACGGGTATGTCGCCAGGTGATGACTGGCAAGCGGCTGTGGCGGTAACAGCGAGCAAGGCGGTGAAGGCTCTCATCACCCGTAATGGACGGCACAGAGAGCAGGGCTGGATAGCTATCACAGGGAGAAGGAAAAAAAAGTTAAAATTGTTAAGAAGCTACAAGGCCTTGCAAACCCTGGCATGCTAAATAACACAGGATTTTCCTAGCAATTCCTATATACCTGTATACAGTGTTTCATGTAGATCCACAAGGGAAACGTGGATAAGATAAATCTTGATAAAATACACAGGGAAAAAGGGAAACAATGGAGCACCTTAGCTTTCGTCTTTATTCAAGACATCTTCAGAGGCAACTGAAGATGTCTTGAATAAAGACGAAAGCTAAGGTGCTCCATTGTTTCCCTTTTTCCTGTGTGATTTTATCAAGATATACAGAATAGACATGTATGTTGAGTTCTACTGCATATACTGTACATACTCATTTACCTTTCTAGAATATAAAAATTAAAACTTCTTTTGCCAATCTCTTGGCAAATAATTCTCCTATAGTTTAAGCATAATGCAGGAATCAATATTTCACTTTTTTTTTCACCTTTCCTTCCTCCCCCTCTCCTGCCATGCTACATCAGTATTACTAAATAACAACAAAAATTATCTACTAAAAATCCTATCCTCTGACAGAATAATTAATACCAACCTTCTGCACATCTGGTAACTAGTATTACACGAAGTAATTCTAAAATCAGACTTAATTCTTGATGGAATAGTGGTAGCATTACTTCCAAGATTACCGAGACCAAGACGCATGTAGTCCTTATGGTAGCTGCGTTCAGACAGTTTTTCCAATGTTTTATTATCCACTTCACGGATCCCTACCAATCCTCCTGCAACTGAGAGCTGCCCTGTTGACCCGTTACTCAAGACAGATGCCTCAAGCTCATCTACGACTGTTGAGAAAGAATTATGGTAGATAGAATTTGCAAACATGTTAATTCCTTTAGGGTAAATATGAAAAAAATTCAAAATCTTGATTGATAAGAATTATTAAAACACTGACCCTAGGAAAATCTAGACATAAATACACAAACTGGAAACAAACTATAGGAAAAACAAAACAAAAATTGAAATGTTTCTTTAAAAGTTGGCTTTACAGAAACCAAAAACATCGTCATAAGTTGGAAAGGTATTACGGTACAAATAATTATGTAAATACAACAAGAACTAGCTAATCATTTTCCTTAATAAATTTTGATTAATGTGACATATGAAGCATCATGTGTCACATTTTATATTGATGATACAGCAAAGGAATTATCTTTACCATAACCTCAGTATGAAAGGCCTAGTGCATGACTGCATCTATGTCATAAATTTTACAAAAGAAGAAGACATTTTGAACTCCTAACACCTTATAATGTACAGGGTACAGTGTCTGCAAAAAAAAAATTGAACCTGTCTGTGTAATGACAGGAATTTTTTTTTTTATATTTAAGGCCGGTCACTGGCCAGTAAATAAGATTAAGTTAAAAAATTTCCATCTGTGAATTTGGTCGTGCTTTGGGCTTATGTGCAAGAGATTCCTACAATGTCAGTGTATTTAACTGTATTCAGTGATAGCTGCATCAATTTCTGCCCCATTCTGGTTAAGAAAAAACATGCCCTACCATACTAGTCAGATTTTTTCTCTCAAAATAGTCACCATAGGTCCCAATAGCATGTCCGGTGAAGAAAAGGTTAACATCCTTGCCCGGTTAAGTAAAAAATAGTTCCTCCGAGGGAAATTCAGGATGGGGTACAACAATAATTAAGACTGAACATACGGCACGCAACCTTCACGTCAATTCCCTTTCACCTCAGAAACCGTCTCCTAGGAGGTCCAGAAAGACCTCCAAGGCCACTGACATGCTTATGAGATGAGAAGTGATGAAGAATCTGACAATGTATGCAGCAGAAATGAAGAAAGTCAACCAAATCCTCCTTCAAAGCATGTCAGATTGAATGATTGCAAGAGGAGCTGAACATGCCATCTCAACATGCCACCTAAATAGCGTAAGCTGACGTGGCCTGGGAACTCACCGGACCTAAACCCAATAGAGAATGCATGGAATCAGACGAAACACAAGTGGTCAACAAGGAACACATTATCAGTACTACTTTGTCTGTAAGAGGAAATCAAGCAGACCTGAACAATGGAGATGAGTCATGACTAACTTTACACTCACTGAATCCATGCCAAATCGACTTCAGCAGGTGTTTAAAATCAAAGAGGATCATGAAAAAATATAAAATATGAAACCAAAAGTTTGCCCGTGTTTTAATCACCCTTAACTAATGTTTTTGCTAAAAGTCATTAAAAAGGTTACACATATCAATATTTTTTGCAGACACTGTAGCTACTGGTATGCATTTCAAAACAAAAATTATTTACAAACTTCTCTGCTCTTTAACAATGCTTACTGTTCACATAGGTAAAATAAAGATCCCAAGTGTTAAAGATGTGTCACTAAATGAATTACGAGTAAACAGTACTGTAGTATTATAAAATGTATAAAATTTTGTCAATTACTTTATGGATTCTACAAACTTACAAGTTATTGGCCAATTATGGACACTGCTTACCTAGTCCTATGTTATTATAAATAAACAAGTAAATAACACACTTTGCAAGAATCATACGCTGTACAACAATGAAACATTATATTATGTACTAAACTATAAGGAAATATATAGGTTATGACACACATAAGCACATTATCAACATCAAGATGGGTACTCTCTCTTGAGCACTATATGTCCTGAGAGAGGTAATGAATCAAACTCAACCTTAGTCAAAATTTCTGAGTCAATATTGAGTGATGACTAAAATTTATGAAAAACTTCAGGTAAAGTTTAAACAATTTTTCTTCTTCTGATAAGTTGAATGTACAAGTTTTATTCTGTGCTTGGATTAACACTAAATAAAAGATCATGGAGCCTCCCTCAAGGTCTATAATGCCTGCCTTAAGCTAAGGGTATTTGGGCAATTATCTTAGCATCACCGCACGCTGCCACATACTGAAGCAATTCTAATAGCTTCAATATGCAGAGATCATCAATATCACTCATTATTCAACATACAGGAGTCAATTCACACAACTAAGGAAGCTAAGTAAAGAAACAAAGCACTAATGCTAGTTTTATGCAGTTAAATTATTCCATAATGTACATTACATTCTATTATGATAACCCCAAATGTTCCATTAGAATTAAAAGTGTAGTTTCTTCCCAATCAACATCTCAGTATCAGACTGTATTTACATATAGGTACTTATGAGCCTTGTCAGGCTAATATATAAGGTCTCCAAATTTCCTTTGTGACTTGTGCTAAAGACTCAGTACTCTACACATAAATTACTGAATGACACAACAAACACTCAGCTTATAGTTTACTCTGGTATAAAGCCTCAAATTATAATCAGATTTTCTATTGTTATTTAAACAAAAAAATCCAACCTTAGACTTTAAAGGAAATAGGAAGGAAAACTACCCACAGGGCTGTCTTTCTACTAATTTCATGGCTCTGTACAGTACTGTACTTGTAAAAAATCATAATTTACAACAATTCAGGGTGATCATACAATATCATCTCAATGGAGAACAGAGGACAACATGAATACTAGCAGCACCATTCTCCCGAGCAACTCACTGGGCGAGAGTCTCCCTCCACAGTCCAATTCCTCGGAACTGCGGCTGACGGGCGACGTTACACGCAGCAGCTTACACTGGCCTTTGTTACTTGTACCTAGGAAGCCATATCGAGCACTCGAGCCTTTGTTATCCAAAAACAAAAATTTAACTTAAAATATCAGCTCCTGTTTTACATATTCAATACTCCAGCACTTTAAAGAGGGGAAATAAAAAAGGCTCATTTCTTTGGAAGAGATTAAAGAGGATGTTTACAGCAGTATGCTGACTATACTACACACCATTAGCTTAACAGTTAATGAAAGAGTAACAAAAGCTTTTAAATATAGTGTACTGTAATTCTATTAATAAAGTACAGGAAAGCTTCCCTGTGAGACAGAATATGACTGGAGATTAGAAATGTATGTAAAGAACATGACCATAATGACATAAGTGAAACTAATAGAAAGATGAAAGCATACTTGGTGATTTATAAAACAGTTTAAAATTAAAAAATATGGACAACCAATATTCTTAGACATAACAACAAAGCTGTAAGCACTAAGCATACAGTACTCGGTAAAATTAAATTTTAGATTAAATCTGACCAACCAAAATTTTCAGATATACCAGTAACAACAATCAGTGTTACTATACAAAAAAATGCTATAAACACTATTACTGTACACTGAAGTTATTAGAAAAGTAAGATTAAAAAACAGGAGGTAATGGTGATTTATGTTCTCTGCTGGATATACACTATAGCCTTGATATAATATATTACTAACTCTGAAGGAATTCATTAACAGTACTATGAGTCTACACAACCATACAGTACCATAGCCTATATCATAAGATCTTTTATGAAACCCAATGGAAAAGAAAGCAGCGAGTCTCCTGACAGGTGTGCCTCTGCTTCCTCCCTTAAACATGTGATTAATTAACTCCTTGTCATTACCTTATCCCAACATCTCAATGGTACTCTGAGTGATTGAGGAGAAAAATATAAGAGAATAAATGACTAACTGACTGTTTGTTTGGTGTTATCCCTAAGAGTACACCAACTTCCCCCCTGAAGCATATTGCCTCTTCTAACCCTTTAAGGTCTGGATAAATACCAAGTTTCAAATTCAATATCATCTAACCTACACTATTAAATCAATTTGTTATCATTCCCCACACCTACTTTTTGCACCACGAGATGGATCATGGATAACAGAGGCCTCAAGAAATGAATGAAATGTTAAGGGAAAACACAACAAGAACAGTACATTACAAAAAAGAAATAATAAAGAACCGAAACAATTAGAAATAAGAGAACAAGAAAGGGAGCCTATACTGTACTATTTTACCCCTACCACTACCTCATGCTCCCTGAACCCCTGCAGTGAGAGAATAGCTACATGTAACATCTACCCCAAACATTCCATGCAATGACTTGTTAAAAATAAGACAAAAAATACAAAATGAAACCAGACCAAAAATATAACATCATTTCAAACCAGGTTGGACTTAATGATGCTCAGAGATGAAGTGGAATACTCTCTATTTTTCTCTAGCTTCCCTTTGAGTGTCTTCTTGTGCAGCTGTGTCAGGTTACCAAATTTGTTTCCTTGCAAGTGTGTCAAATATCAAGTAAACTACACAAATAAATGATAGAAAACCTTCACACGCTCTACTGGCTGTAGGAGATTTTACACACACCAAAAGTTTTTCGGATAAAAAGAACAGTTAAATCTACTAAACACAAATACTCATGATAGTTCAATATGGGTAATGGCTTTACATAATAAGTCCTGGGTTGTGGGAAGACAAACATGTAACCATATAGTATTATACAAAGTCAGCCAGATACCTTTGCCATTTACTACAGAATCAAAAGAACAAATCTTTATCAATTAAAAACACGCACGCACATATGCGCACACACCAACACATACATGCATGCACGCATGCACACACACATGCATGCACGTACGTACACACACATGCACGTACGCACACACACACACCTAACCTAACCTATTCTGTATATTTTCAGCCACAGGCTGCAACTCTATTAATAAACTGTTTATTATTATTATTATTATTATTATTATTATTATTATTATTATTATTATTATTATTACAAGCACGCACGCACACAAACAAACACACCAAGTTTCAAATCAATTTACCAGACTGTTGTGGAGACATAGAGGGCTTTTGAATAACAGATAAATGACCAACTATGCCAGTGTCTGTCAGCTATGCAATAACAAGAACATCTATTTCTAGAGACAAGTCTTTACCTGCTACCTTACAGGATGACAGAACCAAATACAAACACAGATACTCTTCATATGCTGCTATCCATTCATTCTTACAACTGCAATATCCCCATAAACAACAACATGGTCTCCTATCATTACTTACAGTACACCACTACTACCTGGATGTCCTTCCATCTTCTTTCCCAAGACATCCACTAACATATATCTATCAGAAATACCACACATCTTCCATTCCTTCTTCATCAAAGTTAAAATTAATTTCTCATGTTTTACTTCTCTGCTTATTTACATAAATTTATTTTACTCACATTCATTATCCTCCTAGTACATATTCTACCAAACTTATTCGACATTTTAAACGTTTCTTCTGAATCACCCACCAAGGCAGTGACATTATCAAACACAATCGCCTTAACACCCATTTTGCATCCCTTATTCCTATCTACCAAATTTGCTTTCCTCTCCATTACTCTTGCCTTCACCTCTCTTAGTAGTCCATCCAGTAATAATGATCAAGCATGGTAATGCTACACATCCTTGGCACCAAGCAAGTAGCCAGAAATTTGTCCTGGGGAATGTGGGATGGGTTTCAAATGGTGACTAAGGTTACCGTGAGTAGCAAAAGCTTTTTATCAATGGGTACACCCTAGTGATGGCTCTGGTGGGGGTTCATTGGGCAACAATTAAGTTTCTGGGGAGTGGATGAGTGGTGCTTCCCCAACAGATCACACCTCTTCTTTTCCCCACGTAATTATTTTTCTCTCTTGATCATGGGCTGCGGCACATTCCCACTTACGTTTAGAACAAGTATATCTTTTCTCAACACAATTACATGCTTCCTTCTCCCACAACATTTTCATATTTATCCCATATACCCTGTATATTCCATACCTCCCATTTTACTTTTTTATCAGCTATCAAATTTTTCTGATACATGTTAATGTTAAAAACAAATTCTAACCCATCTTTAACAACTCTCTCAACACTGGCTCCATTAAACACTTACTCTGGTATTCTCAACAGACTTATTCCCATATAAGTCCATTTCTTTTGTTCATTTTGGGTTTTTTTTTTTCTGCCTATTCAGTTCCATCACAAAGAGTTTCATGTTCTTTATAAAATTCAGTGACAATATTCCCTGCAGAGCTGTTCCAAGCTAAAGAGCAGTTGGGTATTGAGAGTACAGTATTGGCAAAGTTCTGTGGAGTCCTGATGATGACGCCTTCATCAGTTAGCTCTACGAGTACCAAGCCCAATTCAACGACTGAGTGACTTGCTCACTGAGAGAACTTTGGACCAACCAGTGGTGGCACAGCTTAAAATAAAATTCCTTTCCTTTTCTAGAAGACAATAATTCTAAAGAAGCACATCCCTTAATTATTAAAATTATTTATTGTGATATTCCTACTAAAAGAACACCTCTGGAAATTAGAACAAGAGGATAAACTTAAGGATCATATTTTGGACAGGTTGATTAATTCATTGTAACTAGCTCCTGTATATACAAAAAAAAAAGTCGAACAGTATATAATTATGAGCACTGTTGAGAACTTCAAAAATCAAGCCAACATTAAGTGAAAACTTTCATTCACATCAGAAGAGGATTCTAATGGGCACGAAATTTTAATGGTATAATTTTCTGTATCTTATTGTAGGTTTAATTTTCAAAGTTGACATTCACATTCTATGTACAATATGTTAAGTGCTGCTGGTATGCTAAATAGATAATTATTTTGGATAGAGTACATATGGCATAAACCATATGAATGAAAATCCCAAGGAAAGTCACTGATGTTAGTTAAGTAATGTAAATTTAATATGGTAAACATTGCTGATAATGTTTGGCAATTTTTTTATACAAAACTGGCAAACTTACTTGACAAATCATCATCATGAGGCAAATCTTCATTGCTCAAGTCCATGTTGGCCATCTGGGCTAGACTCATGCGTCCAGGCGATGTCATTGACTTGTTATTACTGGGAAAAACATACTTGTGCCGCTTGCCTCCCTTATTTGGCTTTAGACCCGCAGCCTTGGCAGTTTTCAGTAGAGTTTTCTTGGCAAAACCTCTGTAAGAAAAACAAATACTACACTGCTTTTGATCTCCATGGAAAACTCTCATTAAAATCTATAAATCAAAACTAATTATGTGATACAAAAGAGAATTTTTCCAGCAAATTAGGCTCTAGTCGTGAACAGATGTCCTTGTTGATACCAAGATGCACATATACAGTACTTGTTTGAGACTAGTACAAATGAAATAAGTTCCAATCCAGTTGCAATGGCTGTTAAAAAATAACAGCAAGCCAACAGGTACACCTAGATTAACCCTTAACTAATGTGCATGATTCAAACTCCACTTACATACCCAAATCTCAATTTTGTTTTTCAATAATGAAATGCACCATCTTCTCTCCAATCATAAAACCAAAGACTGAACTTGGAAACTGTAGTTTACAAGCAAGAGAAATCAATAACCCTTAGAAGAGCTGCTTCATCCATTGAGGTTATCTACATTATAAGACATGGATTGAATTGATAAATTCAGCTCCTTGTCGGATTTATTAGTGGTTAGCAGAGGTAGAACCTCTACCAGTACTTCAAAATTAATACAAGTCAAATGGTCACTGCAACAAATTCCCATCACCCATCAGTTGCCCTAAATCCTCCATTTGTAAATGTGGGTCTCTAAAATTCAATCCTTTCATTCTTTCCTTACAATATGGACCTGTCAAGGAGAGATACTTCCCCTTAGCCATGAAAATGGAATTTCTATGTTCATTCCTTGGTTTTATGACCAAGAGTCATTATCAAGTGACTTGTGAGATTCCAAATCAGCTAGAAAATAAACTAAGCTGGGAAGTATACTATAATTAAATAAGACTAGCTCAAAGTTCATAGGAGATTATGGTATTCACATATGCTATAATGTCATGAATCCAAACAGAATCAACAAGGTGAAAGCCTGGAAGTATCAAATATATATTCTCATGACTTGAATGGTAAGCTGGAGAGTAAAAGAATACCTGCATGTACAGGGAAACAATCCATGAACCCCTCATAAGACATGTTAGTTAGTAAATAAGGTACAACTATCAGCAATGAAAAAGATTTAGTAAATTCTTTGAGAGCAGAGAACCTGGCAAAGTAATGAGTTCAACTTAGAGGAATAGATAAGGATAAGGATTTATGATTCTCCTCAGAGATAATTAAGAAATGGTTGAAAATTTAATATTTTAAACAGTAAAGAACGATCCACTGATCCTGGTCATAGAACCAGAGGGGTTCAGATACTCACACATTATCAAACCTCATTGTACGGGATCTGCAAAGGGAAATCCGTATCCAACATCAACACAAAGTGATACCGGTCAACTCCCAAGATGTGCCTCCTCTCACCCCTTAATAGTTAAAGAACACTGAGGTTTCTTTATCTACAGTAAATTAATATAAACATCACCATATGAGTACAGCACAGCTTTAAGTGAAGCATAACAATATTAAGGGAGAATGGAGGAATTTAAACTACTGTAACCTTAAATATTAGTAAAAAAATAAATAAAAATATGCAAACCAAAATATTTTGATGTGAGCAACAAAGAAACAGAAAAATCCACTGTAAATGAATAAATAGGTGGTAGTGAAACACATAATTAATGAAGCTCAGATGTGAACCTGTTTCACACTTCTTGACAGGGCACTATCCTAGGCTAAAATAAACAGAAAGCAAATATTACTTATTAAAATATTGAGGAATACTGGAATATTAACTGAATGTAGACTCACAGCATACAGTAAGAAAACAGGTCATAGGGGTGTACTAGAAGATCTTGAGATCTCACACGTCACTTGTCAAATAACACATTGGCCATTAAAACAAGATACTGTATTTGAAAGTACTAGCCATTTTGGAGTTTTCTGATGGGAATTCTTGAGAATCATGATTACTGAGAATAAAAAATATATTGGAAAACTTAGGCAAACAAATTTAAAAATAAAAGAAAAAGAATGTGAAGAGAGCATCAATGGTTGGAAAAAGAAACAAATTACAGGTAAAATGTTGAGAAATGGAACTACTGTAGATGGTGGAATGTGGCCAGTGACAACATGTCGCACATGGATAATGTTTTTGCTTTTTTCCAAAGGATAAAAAGCCTAGAAAAGGTGATGAAAATTTTAAACCGAATTTGACAAAAGAATGACAAAGGTAATTGCTGGGAAGTGTAGAATATAGTACAGTGCTGTATCCAAGAGGAATGAACTTGGTATGGCACATTTTGGTAAATCCCATAAAATACAAGAAGGAACTCCATAATAGTACCATCCTTCTTACCTTAACAGTGACACATGGGCTTGGAATGATAAAGAAAGCTCCAAAATTCCAGGTGGAGAAATAAGTTACCCGTGGGCTGCATTTAGGCTTCTCAGAATGGAAGTGGTGAGCATTAGTGATGTGTATGGGTAGTTTTGAATGGCAAGAGTGTAAACTATGGAGTCTTGAAATGAGTGATGAGAGGTCCTCTGAGATGATAAAGACATGTAAGAAAGAAGTTAAAGAATAGGATGATAAAGATGGTGTACAGTATAAATGTAAAGGAGAAATGTGGAATTAAAAACAACTAAGAAAATAAAATGTCTGTAGTTATAGGACATCCTAGAGGCTCTTCTGTAGTAGCCACATCCCTCAGAGGGGAACTTACAGGGGTACAATATATCAAGAAGTAATACCTACCTAAGTGTACCATAACCAGTCTTGTCTTTCTGTTGTCTACTGGGTGTCTGAGGTATATGACTCTGGCCCACAAAAGCAAACAGGTGGTTGATGGTTGGTGGGTGCCGTAAACGACTGATTAATTTCCGCATTGTTTCAATACTCTCTTGTGGAACTTCCTCGTCAAATGCCACTTTAATGAGCTGGAAAGAAAGAAGTGAATTATATTTGTGATTTGCCATTTTCAGACAGGATAGCACTTCTTTAACTGACAAAAATATTCTCTATGGGAAGATCGCCATTCTGAACACAACAGTCCTCTTTTCTTATATAAAATCCTCAATTTCTTATCTGTAATAATAAAAGACTTACACCTTCCTTAATTCAGAAGACCAAAAAAAGGGACAAATCTTGAGAGATGAATATCTATCTGTCTCTTACGTAATAATGATCATAAAATCCTGAAGCTGTAATTATTCTCTAAAATAATCAAAACTTCCATGCCCAAAGTACAAGCAGATTCAGCAATTTTTTACACATATGAAGCCTTTCATGCCTTGATGTTCATCCCCCGTTTCTTAGCATTCAGCAGCTGATGGGTTATTCCACCTTCTTGGAATCATTTTCCTGCTGAACCTGTGCAGGTTGAATTGGTGAGTGACAAGGTATATTCACACCATTAGGTAATACATACTGCACCTCAAGGGCTCTAACCTGCTCTGAGATTCTTTGCAGATTTAACTTGGGGAGGCATGGGTCCAGTTACTATGTTGCACTATGAAGATACACTTCAATAGTCTTGCCATTTCCACTGCCAAGATCTATTTTCTTATTTACTTATCTATGTCCTATTGAAGTTTCTTACTATGAAAAGTGTAATAGGTTATTAGTATACCCTTTGAACATTTAAGTGATTAACTGTACAAACCAGTGGCTTGAAATTTAATTTTTATGCCACAATCTTCAAGACACCATAAAATTTCTTCGGTGTACTACTTTTTTACTTTCTCTCATAATGAAGATTAAACTGTAAGGTGAAAAAGTTACATACCTGGAAGGTGTTGGATCGTATCTGGAGGCCTTCATTAAGCCATTGATCCATGGGGCCGGGATGTTGATTAGCTGGCACTCGCTTTTCTCTTGTAATGGATGACACAGGCATAGAGCGCACAACTACTTGTTCACACGCTATGTGAAGGGAAAACAATTATATATAGTGGATAACTAGCAATATGAAGGGCATTAGAAAAGTTCTACAAATCTGGTATATACAAAAAAAATATGAATTTCTGAACTTTATTTGTCAATGTTATTACCCCCGACCTCAAAACAGGTTAGTCCATTTGTTCTCTTAACTAGCAGTACTCTGATTAAAGAACTCTTTATGCTGCTCCACTTAATAGTTGCAGACTATAAGAAATCACTGTCTTAAACCATATACCCCATATAATTATTTTATTACACAAAATTATTATATAGAAATTACATAATTCAGTTCAGACAACTCACCGTAAGGATCAGTGGGGAGACCCTTGAAAATGAGTCTGTAATTGGTGAGGAACAGCGCTCCTTCAGCAGGTAGCAACATAGGACCACCAACATGACCCCCGGTAGATTCCTCTCGGCCATCCGGCAACAAGTAAACCCGCAGGCCCTCATACATTACTTCTTCTCCAGGTATAAGTGATGGCAACAAGATCTTAGGCTGAAAGTACAAAAACAGGTTAATACTCACAAACATGTGGCCAAACAGGCAGCTAATGATGAAAATTAAATAAATAAGGTTTATCCTGTATATATAAAAACAAACAAAAAATGCTCAATATCATGATATTTGGTTCCTGTCATGACAAACCACCGATTTGAAACCTCTAAGTGTATATGAAGAAGGTTAAACAAAATGCATGATAATGTCACAATTTAAAAAAAAAGTAAGTTTTTGTATCAAGATCCACGACAAAGGTATAAAAACTCGACTCAAAAACATTTCACAATAGAAAAAAAGCATTACACATAAACCACAGACACCCCATACCAATCTTCTCACTTCTGACAAACAAAAAACTCACCATCACTATAGAAACATGAACAGTTATAAGATATATCCACCATGTGATAATACTATTTGAATATTCGGAAAGAGAAGGATATTTTCCTAAAATTCTTTTGTCTGTAAAAATAACTACAGACATGATCAAAATGAATATCTGATTATTTTTAAAGGAAGTATTCACACTACAGTAATACACACAATATCTACTGAGTGCAGAAAATGTTCACCCTCACAAGATTTCTCCCACAATGCAATATCCAAAAGCAATATCCACAATCAAAATCTTATCCACAAAATACTCGAAAACAGGAAAAAGGAAAGTTAGTTTGGAAAAATTCCCAACAAGGTACAACATCTCATGAATCCTGAACCATAATCACAATACTGTGCTGTAGAGTATTACAAAGGCTTGAAAAGAATTAAAAGACTCTGGACAATAACATGAATATCCAGACAACTTTTGACGTCACACCCTTGGATGTAGCCCTGAAGGAGATAATAGTCACTCTTACAACTCACCTGACCATAAACTATTTCTGTGTACCTTGGGTCAGGTTTGTAAGTACCATCTACACTCTGTCTATATGCATCACGTCTGATGTATATAATCGACTAAGGAATGAAGATCAAAGGCATTGTGTTAACATGCATTCTTCACTAAGTATAATGCTACATTACTGTTACATAAAGAAGTAACAAAACAATATCTACAGTACTTTATAAAATTTATCATAAAATTTGTAGTAAATACAAAAACGAAAATTATCAAAAGTTTATTTAAGTTACCATATTAATGAAGTCCAAAATATACTAGACTCAATCTTAGTTGAGGTTTTAGGCAGAAGTTATATATAAAAACCATTAAATGTTACAATCAACTCCCTATACTGTAGTTCTTTCCTTTCCCAATAAACTCACTCAAGAATATCAAGCACATCAATATTTCACCAACCTTCTGTATTGGTGGCAAGCGCTTTGACTCTTTGTACACCGCATCCAACATCTCCACATGCATAGCGACCACCCCTGGGATCATCTGATGCAGCGACTTTATGTGTTCCTCTGTCAATGCACCAATATGATCATTAATTAACAAAAGTACAGTTAAGTTCATAATGAGAAAAACATCCTACCCAGTATAAGGGTTTAACTTTCTCCTTTCAGTTGCTTGATTCAGTAAGTAAAGGACAGAATCACAATTTAGAGATGCTGCTAAATTAAGAAATAGGCAACATAAATTTCACAGGGCACAATCAGTTACTATTTTCCTATATCTGAGTGCTGTTAGACATAAAATTAACTTTATATACACTTACAGAGAATATTGTCCATTAAAGAAAAAAAAAAAGATAATATTTGTATTACAGCGACCTCAAATTAGCATCTTGTAAACCCCATAAAGACCAAATTTAGTAGGGTTCATTTAATTTGAATGCAAAAACTTTTAAAATAAATTTGTTGTAATGCGCTTGGTAGAACTTTACTTTCTTGAGGAAACCAACATCTGCAGGTTACTGGATAAATGGATGGACAACATTACTACTATACCTGCCTGAACTTCTTCAAACAGACACTCAACATATAAAAGAGATGCCAAAACATTCCTCACCTGTAACACTTCCTTCCGTACATACTTTGTCAACAAATCTGGAAACAAAACGCACAACACTTGCTTCCCTGTCACTCTGCTCTTGGTCCTCAAATCCTGACTCAGCATCTAGACTATCACTTTCTGCCATACTGTAAAGAGGAAAGATATTTAACATCAATATGACATGTACACTGGATATTTTCACTCGGGAGAACAGTTGAAAGCTCAGTCAAATTGAGGGACTGTATACTTCAAAGGTTTTAGAGATTTGAAGTGATTAGCTAAATATATCTATTGGTATAGTTTTCTAATTACAGTACCACTCAAATATATGGTCATAAGCCCATAAATTGTCTTGTTGCCATCTGCAATGATCTGATAAAATGCCAAGAGACTCTTAAAATTAAATAGAAAATAGAAACAGCACCAATAAATGTTAATAAGCACAAGCTGTAAATAATAATACTTTATATTTCCAAATACAAGAAAATGTTGCAGGAGAGAAATACTTAATATCTCATCAACAATTAAAATGCATAAACGGACAAGAAAACGTAATCCATTGATAAAACGCAGCTTACCTGTTTGTTATGCTGTTACTGGCATTGTCTCGATCATTGTAGGTTCTTCTATGGACAGCTGCATTTACATCCAGAGGTATTCGAAGGAACACCATTCTATTTGCATAGTGGATAGCTTGTGAGTATAACGTAGATTCCTCTTGTTCAACTAATTCTCGTTGTCTTTCTGAAAACAGAGTGTTTGCCAATTAAGCAAAGAAATATGAAAGCAATTTCTGTGTATATACAGTAAGTATTCAATAAATGTGCAAGGGAAATTTACATGATAATGACTCACTTAGTTCTATATTAATCCAAAGCCTCATCTGTTCTGCTGCGATCTCCAGTGCTGACGGTTCATGAGGTCTCAGGTACGATAGTCTTCCTTCTTTCCAAGAACCTGTATCTGAGGGCTGGTAAACACAGGAATAAGTGCCATCATCTCGGATAAATCAAAATGAAAATTAAATAAGGGCAATTTTCAAGTAAAACAAGCAGGAAACATGTTGATATTCCAGTAAAACAACCTGGTAAAGAAGCCGACTGTCAAGTTGTTCTGGACATGGTGACTTTCTGGTAAACGGTCAAGCAACATATTACACTAGTTTCCAATAAAGTGATCTTTTGGTAGTTTTATACAATGTAGCAACATGCAAGGCAACTTAAGACATCAGCTCTCCTCTTGTTGCTTAAAATAAGTCTTATATCCTTCATCATCTAATCACGGGTTATGCACAGTGACCCAGGACTTCTGCAGTGCCTCAATCTTTCTCACATGACCCACTAAATTGACTCATCAGATACATCAACAAAACTCACACTTCCACCTCTATCTATCTACCTATATCTTATCTATCATTTTTACTCCCACTTTTTTTATGAGGTAACTAAAGTGAAGAGAAACCATCAAGAAAGGGAGAGAGTAGTACAAGTGTAGACTTTAACAGGAAAGGTATTCAACCACAGGAATAAAAATGCCCGAGATCTAAATTTATTTATATCTACTTTTATTTTCAGGTATATACTTCTCCACTAAGCATCATCTCTCGTCACACTATTCCATTATAAGACTTGAAAAAACTTTGTCTGGCTCACACCATCACCTCTTATGATGTCTACCCCTCCACCTCTGATCTCCCTTCCACTATGCAGGTATCACTACAGTACATGTCAACTTCAAACACATACAATTCTTTAAAAGCTCTAAAAGGGTTCTACTGAATATCAAATACTCTACTCATTCATATTATAGAATGTTCACAAATTATTCAACCCTTTTTAAAAGATAATAACTTCAAAACATCATAGTTAGAACATGCAAGTTGTATTATACTCTACTTGATCAACAACTCAGAAGTTTCTTCCCTTTGTCCACATGCACACTGTCAGTTGTTCAGTTATTTGTTAGCCTATTAATTTTTAAAATAGGTCAGATGACTTATGGCCACCTTGTATTTTGATATATTTTCCCCACACATTTCTAAGGATCTTCTCCCTATATTTATTTCTCACATCTTCAAACCCTTACCAAATCAATTCTCTTTCATTTCTATAATACATTAAGTTAATATTTTTTACTGTTCTGATCTATTCAAATATTTACATAAACTTTTACTTAAAACTTAATATTCCACAACAAATGCAATACTAAGATTGGATGACCTAATTATTGAAAATCATTATATATTCCATTCAAAATAATGAAGATAAGAAGATAATTAATTTTTTCCTATCTTACATCTCTTGGGTTGACAGGACTAAGTGATGACTCCTTTATACAGGATGAGTCAGAGGAGATGGAGGTCCTGCTAGGTTGCTGTGACCGATCTTGATAGAGAGACTTGATTTCTTTCTGGACATCCTGGTAAAATGATGCTTCCCAAAACTGCTGGTTACCCCAGACACTGTGATCCTATGATAGGGGTAATATTAAACATCATTACACACAGCATTTACATGGTGCACACACACTAGCAAATATCTTATTGAGGCAACAAGAATATAAGGAGACTTTACTACCCAATTTCCAGTATGAATAAGAGCCCTCAATGATATGGCTAATCCCCTGACCAAGATAAAGAGCAATAACTACAGCCATGACTACAACCCTCATATATTTTGGACCTGGAAGATACAAGAACACCTAAGGTTGTATTTAGAAAACAATAAAACAAGAAACTTTCCATGAATCATAAATGCAATAAAACATGAAAATATTTTTGTTAAAGCTAAGGTGCTTGACAAGAGAAACAACCAGAACATCTGCTTTCATAACCAATGTCAGTCTGAATTTTAAGTAAAACATTATCTTTGAAGAAATGTACAACAATAATAAGGTAATAATACAATAAAGTTGCACTAACCTGTATGCAAGTGTATGCAAACTGGATCACTCCCGTGCATAACTTGCGGCAAAAGGCAGTGGAGAGAGGAAGAAGAGCCGCAGCTACGCCATGTTCATCGACTGGGGAATCATCCTGAAGGCCACAGTAATCTACTAGTATATTACACACATCTCTCAGTGCACTTATAGCAAGAGGTGCACACTGGCCTAAAAAAATTCAATACATTTCTATTCCAATTCAGGTAATGAATCATCTTAACCCCTTCACTATGGGAATGCCACTTTTAATATTTGATTTGGCTAACACCAAACGATTTTATTCAACTCAGAAGGGAAGGAATACACAAGGACTTAATGGCAATGTTGCCATATTGGGATTACTGTACCTATAGTTTATACTTAAATCTGAATATATATTTATAAATTTGATTGAAGGGCAGTATCTAAGTCTCAAGAAAAAATTGACCAAGAATCAGTAACAAGAAAATTTAGTACAGGCTGGTCAAAAAGTTCTATCGATCAGGACTAGGATTCAAATAAGTAATTATTGCAGCTAAAAAATATTGGATGCTGACCATTTTCCCCACAAGTATGAATAAACCCAACAACAATACACAAACATCTCCTGAAGCATTACACTGTATACTGAGGAGGCTCTGTTTATACCTGTGCCTGTATTGTGGGAAAGAATGACCTCGGTTGCATTCGGATTGTTGTACTAAATTAGAATTTTTACCGAAAGGGACCAAAGTGGACAAAGTTCGGATACCTGGAAGATGTGGATAGTTGGAATTCGGATAAAAGGAATTGCCCTGCAGATAGAAAATGATAATAGAAATAACTTTCATGAGTTTCTTTCACATTTTGTTTAGCACAAATATATTTGCACTTTCCCAAGTGGGAGTGCTCACAAGGGAAAGTAACTTCAAACACTTTTAAGGATGTCACCCATAAAGACAAAAAACATGAGGATTCTTTGAGTCCTGACCCTGTTATATAACCCCAAGCCAACCTATTAACTAAACTATATCAAAAGTGACTTAATTCTGTGTGAAAAAAGAATCGGGTTCCTTCAGAAACAGCTTTATAATCAATTTAATATTTATTGTATCTTATTTGTCTCTTCTAGTTATACCAAATATCAAAATCTTCCATGTGCTTCTTTACCCCAATTTCCATTTTACACCAAAGACAACATTCTCTTCATCACTCACCTGCAGCGCACAATTCATGAGACGAACAACCAGGTCAAACTGCTGGTGTTCGAGCACAGCCTTGTTGCCCAGTACATGGTGACTCAGCTCAGTGCACAGGGCTAGACGTGCAGCTTTACTCTTTAGAGCCCGTAAGACAGCAGGGAAAGTTTTTCTTGCATCACTGATTTTGTTTTCAAATATGCAGTTTACACAATTTCTCATTACCTGTAAATCATATAATCCAATGAGTTTCTGGAAACCAATATAACTTAAAAGTTCCTTTATTGAAAACAGATATCCAAAAGTGTCTTTAGGCACAGATTTCTCACTTTACCAATATCATGAATATTACAACTTCTACAAATAAATACAAAACTTATGAAGAGTAATAAAAGAACTGGAGAAAAAAATATGAGAATTATCTGACAAACATCCTGTATATTGTTCCCAACATTTGTATGATGATGATCCCCCCCCCCCGGCCAAAGGGCGGAACCCGTGCCTCTGGAGAAGAGAGTCCAGAGCAGTAGTTAATGAGCAAAACATCCCTTTTAAGAATTAATTTTTTTGCAAGTGATCTTCCATGAAAATACTGAAACTAAGGAGCACTGCATACATCTTTAATTTATAAAACTCACTTCTAATCTTCTTGCTGAACTAGATACCAGGCCTCTACCAGACTGGAGACTAGAGATGTGGGGGCCCATGGGCACAATTCTGGGCTGACCAGCTTTCTGTGGGATCCTGGAAATAAAATAAGAATTTTTTTTTCAAAACACCACTAAATACTGTATCTCTACTGCAATTCAGAATTTAAAAAATCCACCATCACGTACTAAACATCTCTTGCTGAGCACCTTTGAGATGGAGAAGGGGCCATCCTTTTGCTGGCACTCGGCCAGAAAAACGACTCGAGTCCCCATGACTAGGACACTCTACCATCAAATATCACAGACAGTGGCACCAGGCAGTCATCACAATAGGGCTGTGGTCCTCTGGCCTTAAGGAAACTGTGGGTGAGGTCAGTGTGTCCTACACGTAGTTGGGTAAAGGCAGTCTCATAGCAGTGGGGCATCTAAGGATCTTCCCAAGGACAAATTTTTTGGGTAATCTCTCGCAACTTTAAAAACGAATCAATTGTCCAATTGTAGCTGCCAAGCGGCTTGGATGGCTGACCTACTGCAGGGGAAAAAACTCTCTGTGAGGGAGGGAGCATAAAGGAGCATGGCGACAGGCAGCGGACTTGGCCACCTCGTCAGCCCTCTTAATACCTTGCACAGACAGACAGAAATCCACATTATGGCCCTGCCGACAGAGGATCACTAGCCAGTTAAAAATATCTAAAACTAGAAGGTAGATGGAATTGAAAGATTCTAGAGAAGACAGTGCTGTTGCAGAATCATTAAAATTAGTAAAACTCCCAGCCTTATAGGTACTGATTTCTTTTAAGGGCTAGGCATATAGGAGAGAACTCTGTAGCAGAAATATATACAAAGGTGGGAAGTCTCCCACTGCGGCTAAAATCAGGGAAGATAGCTCCAAACCCAACAACAGCATTGGATTTTGAGCCATCTGTATAAACAAGCACTGAGCCATCATGCCAAGTTGCATGTTCCTGGAAATACATCCTGGCCATCACTTCATTAACATCAGCCTTGCTCCCGGGCATGTAACGACAAAAGTGTACCTTCAGTAGGCACCTTCACTGGGGTGACCAGAAGTTGAGGAAGTATTAATCTGTCAACCAGCTCCTGAACACAAAAGCCAAAGGATCAGGGAATGTGTGGGTGAAGGGTAAATCTATGGTCCATGGACCTATCAGATAATTATGGCCTCCCATGTTGGAGATTTAGATAGACACTGTACTTGGTACCAGCAGCGAGCCATTTGGGACGGCCAATGCATATCCAGTGGTGGTATGATATTTAGCCTGGCTGGTGTGGCTCAAGAGTACAGCTCACATCCATATGCCAGTTTTGACCCCATGATACCATAGTAAAGTCTTAAGAGAGTCTTACAATTGGCAACCCAGAACGTGTGGGATAAGACCCTCAGAAGGCTGAGGAATTGTAAGTATAACATTTTAAGTGACCTAAGGTTGGGAATCCAGGTCATTCATATATCTAACACCAGGTCCAAGAATTAAGTCTCTTCAACCACAGGAATGTGGGCACCATATATAATGTTAAGTCAGGGTGCAGACCCTGGAGCAGGCAGAAATGTATGGCTATGGTCTTTGAAGTTGAGAACCTTAAGCCACACTCTGCCTATAAGGGACACCCAATTCACTGCAAATTGAAGTTGTCGCTGAGCAGCACATAGATGGAATGACGAAAAACTAATAGTTGTGTATCAAATATTAAAAATGGGAGAGTGAATAGGAGCATTTACTCCCCTAGGAACCATATAAAACATTGCAACTTATAGAGAGCTTATTCCAAATGCTTACTTCACCACTTCAGGAATTCCACTAATGCTACATCTACCCTTTTATGCCTACAGTACTTTCAGGTATAATTTTTTATTTTTGTTTTCAAAATCAAGAGAATTATCATAATAATCAGTGCACACTATTTCTGTTCCCTGTGTATTTATGACTTTTACATCTCCAGTATTTGCTCGTGTTCTGCAGTACTTAAGTTAAATCTACAATGTAAAAAAATAAATAAATAAAAAAGTAGAAATTTCTGAGTTTCCGAATTGCATCATCTTAGTATCTAATAACTAACAAATACTCACTTCACTTTCTTAGCTGTGCCTTCATCAATGATGCTCTGAACCTTCTGGGCATCTATGTGTGGGAAGACAGGTTGATGGATACGAGTAAATGAGCCCTCAGTGGGTTTTGGAATCTTTGCAACAAAAGGCTGTGGGTTAGGGTTCTCATTGCTATACAGTTGCTGAGCAAGTTCCTGCAAAAGGATAAGAACAGGTTAAGGCGTCATCTTCAAGTCATTCACCACTTGGTAATTATTGAATTTGTGCATTACACCTAAACTTTTACTTAATACATCTAAATTAAAGTACCAGGTTTATGACAATGTTGTCACATGGTAAATACTGTATCTGTGCTAAATACTTAAATCTGTGCACAGATTAAGGCAGTCAACAAATAAAACTATTTTCACCCCTGGGTACAATGGAAGAGTTGTAGTTGCTAATAATTATGATATCGCCTCAGAATAGAAAGTTCAATGAAAGTATATGGTGATTGGGCAGCCTGGAGGCTCTTCTGTCATGGTCACCCACCAAAGGAGTGTGGCATCAAAGATAAGAAGATAAACAGACAAATGTCTCTTTTTTGTACCTGAATATGGACTAGAAGCATTCGACTATCATGTTGCTCCAGGCGTAATTGGTCCCCAATACCCGAATAGAGATCATCCCATAGATCACAAACACGCCATGGAGGTCCTCTCTCCGTTACAAAAGTGGTGAAGAACATGCAGTCCAACACTTTCCCCACAAATTCATTGTCCACCATCCCTCTGTTTCCAAGAAAGGATGCCTGAAACAATATGTAAGGTTCATGTTATATAGTACACAAGTTATGAAATTCTTAACAATCCTGCCTAATCATATGTGTTACCAAATTACCTTATATCATTATTTTTATTCCAAATGTGTACAGTAAAATGCCATTTTAAGGACCATTTGGGGAAAAACTATGCATAGAAACTGATTTTACTCTACAAAACAGTATTCATTATTTTCTTATGACCCATTTCATTAACATGACAACAAAACAGCTAAATGATTAAGTTAAACATTTTCAACAGTGAAATCAATGAATTGAAATAAGTTCAAGTTAAATGGAGTTGTGGTGGGAGTGAGAGAAACTCCTTGTGTAGTTGTGGAAGCACTACAAACTAGTCACTGTATGAAGCACTATACTGTAATCATGCAATCGGGACGATATACCCGGTACTAATAAACAGTAAAGTACAGTATTTTACAATGCCTTTAATTCACATTCATTTTGTCTTTAATCTTTCAGGCCTTTTTTCCAACTAAATGCATGTTGGGTAGAAACAAGAGCAAATACACACACACACACACACATATTTTCCTTTCCACAATAAGGAACTAAATCAGGTTTATCAATTGCTTCACACAAGACAACATCACCCATCCATATTAAGTCCTTCCTAAAAGATCACTCAGTGTCATGCTCTCCACTCATTCATGCACACTGCAGCTCCCTGGAAACCAGTCACCTTATCAGCCTTCCCCTCTCCCTTCTAACTTCCACTTCTGAATTAAACACCATTATTGTGTTACCAATCTTTAAATTCTGATCATCTAAAAATATCTCTTCAATTCCTCCCTGAACAGCTTGTTCTCTTTAAAAGCATTTTGACAGCATTTCCCCCAATTTTCAATACCGGTACTTATTTTTGTGCATTCTTTCACCATTCTGTGTCCTTTTTCTCATCTCCTTGTACTGCTCCCTTCTTTTGTCACACCTCTCCTACACTTAGCACTTATATGCCTTTTCTGCTCCATCATGAACAATGCTAACCTCTCATTCCACCCTGTTCATTATTCTTGTTTTCAGTCATATTTTCTTATACTCACACACCACAACTGCATACCTCTCCTTACCCTTCAGCTTTGTCTCACAAAACAAGGTCATCCACATTCCTTTCACTCGTCATAGTTTCAATCACTATTTCCTCATTAATCATTACATCCATATCCATGTACATTCAAAGATCAACATGGTTGTGTATAATGCCCTGGGTAGATTACCTGCTACCATGTTTTTATTCATATGAAATTTTGAATTTCCTTGCTAATATACTTTTTCTCAACACGCTTTCTTCAAAAACAAACTTACAGAAAATTTAATTTTACCTGATTTCAATTTATTTTACAGTACATCATCTTCAGCTCTAATAAAGCATTTAAAGTTCACAATATTTTATCCAATAACAAAATAAAAATTACCAGAGAAAGGTTTTCTATATATATTGTACAGTATTTGATCTAGTTATTGATAAAGCTAATTAAAAAGAAAACAATGGGCACCTTATGGAACGTTATAACAGGTTTAGAGTGTATCCTGATGAGGGTGAGACATGACCGGTAGCCTTGCAGCAACTCGGCAAACATCCGCATAAACACCGCTCTAATTTCCTTGTCGATCATAACGTGCGGGGAAGCTCTGATGCCACTACTGGATGGGAAGGCGTTGTCTGCAGAGTTGAGATCTGGGTGCAGTACCTGTTGATAATGAACACATTTATTGCATTATCATGGTGGATAATTACATAAATTTGAAAAAAGTATTGTAAAGATTTGAGTGTAAAAAAAAAAAATACAAGTCTACAAGTAACCTGAAGATGAGAGGATGAGACTGTGGTGATGAATGACAATCTATACAAGATAATATTCTATGTAATGCAATGCACAAATGGATAAAAAGAATAGTTTCCTTTCTCTGACCACCATCTCAACTGGCAGATCCAAGATTCCAATTTTTTCTTTCAAAGATGGCATCATAGACCACTCTATTATATAGAAGAGTAATACTGTATCCAGTTTCACTATTAATTTCCAGAAAACATTCCTAAATCTGCCAGTGTTCCTATAATACAAGTGCTTACTGTGTGCCAACAACAACTCACCCTTGAGAGAGCAGTATGAGTTTGGGACCAGAAAGGCTCTGGGAGAAGAGAGACGGCCAAGCTTTCCGGCACACGGATTGACCCTCCATCCAGGTCTGCTACAATGACATCCATCTGTGAGAAGAAAGGAAAGTGAGTAAAGCTCATCTTACTTTTTTCTTTTCTTTTCTTAAGCATGCGAGCCTTTTTCTGCTATGATGCAGGTGGCTGAACAGGTGTTGATCCTTGGTTCTTAACATTGAGCACATACTGGGTTACCCCATCCACCAAACACTAAATAAATAATACAACTGTGGCATTATCATTAATTTGCTCCCTTAAAAAATTACACAAAGTCAGTGAATGCTCATATGCAATCCTTTGACATATCCCACTACATTTCATAATACTACTTGAATGATTATACTGTATTGAAGTACAATAAAATGAGGTCTTCTTGGGCCTACAAATACTGTAAGGTTATTCACAAGTGGGAAACAATGAGATGCAGTTCACCTTCCCCCAAATTGTCTGGGAGGAAAAATATCTTAAAATTCATATCATGATAAAAGAAAAAATAAGGCATACATAGATCTTTATATCTATCTGTTAACAGAAATCTTTGCCCCGTCTGAAAATATCCTGTGGATACCCATGTTTATATTATTTATGTCTACAAGCAGTCAAGATCCAAAAATAGCATAACGGGCATTAGCCTACCCAGCCACAGGTCACTGACCCACATAGGGGAAGGACACATTCTAGTTATGTGTAATGTATACAGTTTCTACCATTTAAGTTGAACTGAACATGCAAAGAATAAAACATAGCTTAGGTACAGTAATATTGTCCAATATATCTAATAGGAACCACAAGGCACTAACAAAAAACAACAAAATTACTCACCAGTTCAGCAATGTCATGTTGGAGAGCAGAATGGACACCCATTATGAAGGGTGTTGGAGTTGAGAGAACTTCAACTAGTGAGGCAGGAAGAATTGGAATGTAGACGTGGGAGTACCTGTTAAGAGGATTTATTTACTTCAGCAAATTCGTACCTTTTTAAGAGAAGTAAATTAATAATACGTAATAATAATAATAATAATAATAATAATAATAATAATAATAATAATAATAATAATAATAATAATAATAATAATAATAATTATAATTATAATATTAACTGGTCTTTTGTTTCTCACAAGTACCAGTTCTTCCAAAGAATTCACTAGCGCTCAAAACACTACAAAGTCAAAGACCTAAAAATAGGTTGGCCGAATACTTAGGCTCAAAAATCGTAAGTGCCTTAAAAGTCACTAGGGAGAGTCTGAACTCTTTCCTAGCTTTAAGTGGAAGCTAATGCAATTCGATCAAGAATGGGGTAGTGCACTCACTTGAAAGGGTAAAGAAGGGCCTTGAGAGCATGACATGATTCTGTGAGTCTGCAGTAAGACTGACTGTGAAAAAGAATCTTGTGCTCAGTTAGGGCCGCGCAGAAAAGCACCAAAACATTCTTGATACCTGAATAAAAACAGCATTAGTTCAGTGAGTATATTGTATGATTGTTTCATCCTGGACTGAAGAAGAAGACACACTGTACGGCCACACTGTAGGCCCTTATAGTAAACCTACCTAAATCAACCCATGGCATCTATCACAAAGACCTGGTATTTATATCACAAACAGAGTGATATGATATACATCTTCCCTATCCCTCTAAACAGTGGACCCCAACCTATGATTTGAGGGCCACACGTGGCTGCTGAGCAGTTTTTGTAGTCCTCAAATCTTTCAGTAATAGGCTAGTTACACTAAATTTCACGTGTCTATCATTTGAGTTAAGTTTAGATTAGCACACTCATATATTTTTCTACATTAACGGGTGCAAACTTTTTATTTTTTAAACTGGTGATTAAGTTAGTCACTAATTTATTCTCTTTCCTATTTTGAAGTGCTACCCCCATCATATATCTGACCATTCAATGTGGCCCACTTATATAAAAAGCTTGGGAATCACTAGAAAATATATACAAACCTGCTAGGCTTCTATGACACCCAGATGGTTAACAAATAATCTTTTCCACATAAGCAAATTATAGCACAACTCTCACTTTCATATACTTGCCTTTGTTTCTGATGCATGTTACCTCTTTTTGATAAACCACATACAGTACCTTTAAAGCTTTTAGTCTACCTTCCATCTTCATACAATCTAGACATAAGATTTGCCTATTTAGTTTAAATTTTAGTTGAGAAAAACTAAATTCTTTCCTACCATTTCTCAAAGAATTCTTCATTATCAATACAAGTCAAACTTTCATGTACAGATTCAGTATAAATGTACTGTACCTATATCAATTATGCTCTCATTACTATTGCTTTCACTCCTATTCTATAAATCTTACATGAAATTAAACTTCATCCACATAAATAGGTCAAGACTAATACAAACCTGCCAGGGGGCATCTTACTAGTCTGGATCTTGCAGGTCACCCATACAACATAACACTCTCCAAACTATCACCATAACACTGAATAAGCATCTCCATTAACTTGTTATACTTAGCAGTGGTTATTGTGAACAAACCATAATGGTTAAGAACTTTTACTCAAAACTGTTAAGACCTGTTTATTCCGTGAAAATTCCTCCTGCACAATAAATGTTAAACAAGTGGCTTAACTAAAAAGTGACACACTTATCAAACAAAAGACTTTCTTAACAAATGACTTACCTAACTGATTGAAGAGACTAAGGACGGTGGTGATGGTGACTGGGAGGGTCGGCGAGGCTGGGGGCTGTAGAGCTTGTCTGTCACCGGCACCAATGCTGAACCGAACCTGTAGAAAGATCAACATTTAATGCAATTTAATAAAGGACGAACTTGATGTACTAACAGATATCACATCACTTAGCAGTACCATACACCCAAAACACTGGTGGTACAGCAGTAATATGCTTGCCTCTCACTACTATGTTCCAGCTTCAATCCTGGGTTAGATATACTGTAAGAATTATCCAGTTCCTCCTGTACACTAGCACTGGACCCATGAAGGACAAACTTATCAGTCACATTGTGGGGATTAAACAAGCCCTGTGGCTTGCTTCTGCCATCAGCAATTCTATCAATATTGGTGTGCTTCATACATAACAATGTCACCCTGTATCACAGCCAGAAAGTTTGTACACTACTGGTTGGGCAACAGTTCTAATGTTTATTACCCAAAAGATTTTGTAAATAATGAAGTTAAAAAACAAATGGTAGGCCTAATTAGACAAGTCTCTTATTGTCAAGTTAAGACAACTCATTCTGCACTACATCAGTTTTGAATTCCTACCTTCTGAGAGCTAGGTTTGAATTCGGATTCAGGAACCTTTGACTTTGTTACCCACTATGGTGAACATAAGACTTCCTGTATGTCACTAGCTCAATATCTGAAGTCTCTTCTCTTACTCACAGTACAACCTCCAATGTAGTACAGTGTAAAATATGGACTATCTTTCTAATAAATTCAAAGAGCATTGGCATAATCATCCAATGAAATGTAAATATCCACAGTTTAATCTTCACGGGGCAATAGTTCCACTTACTTTTTAAGCAGTGACATCTCCTTAAAACTGATGTAAGGCTAAGAGGTGCAGTCCAATATAATTTTCTCTTTAAGAAGATGTATATAATAGGCCAAAAGGTCAAGGAGTCCCAGACAACTGCTACAACAAATCATACAATGGATTTACAAAAAACCTGCCTTACCAGGGTAGGGAATCCCTATCCTTAAGTTATGTAAATTAATGAGTCTAAGAAAACATGACAAGAGTTAAGTTACCTTAAGGAAATTAACTGCCATAGTCTCAGTTACAGCACTGCCATAGTCTCAGTTACAGTACTGCCATAGTCTCAGTTACTAGCACATAATGTAACAAAGACCCATTCAAAAGGATCCTTCACTGCTCCCATATGAACCTCAGTACAGTACACATTCAATCAACAAAATTTTCCATCATCCCCCATCACGTGTTGCATCAAAACACTGGTTTGTCAGAAATCATTCAATACCAACAAAATAGAATAATAGAATAATCTTAAACTGTACCCCAAAAGGGCAATTTTTGCTACCAGTCTCCCTATTAAATTGTGATAGGTGAAGAATGGATTAGTCCCCAGCTGCTGAGTGAAGACTGTCCTACAACTCACTTTGGTCACCAATATTATGAGTGCCATTTGGTAGAAGGCTTCAGGTTAGAAATGTAAAGCCTGGGCATCTCCAGAACTAACCTGCGGTCCTCCAGGTGGTGGCACTTGGACATAACCCACCATATTGCCAATGAGTGTCTCCATGCTTACTCCCAGTCCTTCCATATACACAGTGTACACAATCCCCATGCAATTCTGCAAGTAGAAAAAACAAGAAATATTATGTGTTAAAAATCATCTTCAAGCAATTCTTAAACAACAGAAGGTATTTAGGTGACTAAATATATACTTCCTAATTATATTTTTTTTTTACATTCAGAATACGTAACCTTTTTTCCTAGTCCTTTATGCCTTCTTCGGTTACAAAGGAGGGTAGCCCGGAACAAGAGCAAACACTCTCTCTTCATTCAATGTTATTCATTCCCTCTTACAACAGTAACGGATGTGTTCTGCTACAGTGTCCCCTTCTACAACAAAGCCCCAAATACTTTTCTGGTTTACCCCCCATCACTTCATACCATCCACAAACTAGCAACATCCTTCAACACAATAATAACTCCCAGAAACCAATATAACTATGCTCTTCAGTCTTTCATGCATGCTGTTTTCTAAATGTTGAGCCTTTACTTTCAATACATCATTTATCCTACAGTACAGTACTGTACAGTATTTTCTTCTTGGACTTCTCTCCATTCTACAATCCACCTTTAAATAATAATCTCTTTTTGTTTTTCTTTCACTTCCAATGCTGTACTCTAAAGATTGTCATTTCTGTTGCTTCTAATTTCCACCTTCCTCTTGCATTCAGAGTCCATGTTTCACTCCAACATATTAATGTCAATTGAACAATTCCCAGTGTATCCTCAGCTTTGCTTCATTTGATATGGTTCTCTTATTTTCACACATTTCTCAATAATATCCCCATTCAAGTACAACCCCATCTAGTACCTGGACATGCATTACTTTGCTGTGGTGTGGAGGGAAAATGAACAGCTTCCAAATACAGTACAGTATAAGAAATCCCCGATTTATGAAGATCTGGTATACAAAAATATGAAGTTATGAAAAAAAATTGTCCCAGGTTTCAAGTTACGAAGAATAAATCTGAAGTTATGAAAACATTATTTTCTTTTTTTTTGGGGGGGAGGGCTTTTTTGTAATTTTTTGGCAGCATGGGAAGATGTTGAGGTGTTGACACAGCAGGCATCTCAGGGCATCCCATACCAGACCAGGTCAGTTTATAAAGACAATTAAACTAAAAACAACATAAAGCATTGTTCTGTACAGTATTGAGAGTGGTTAACTAAGCTAAAAAAAAATAATAATTACATTTTTAATTATCATAGCTCACAAGATTGCTAGGTGAAGTAGTGGCAAGATACTGACTCAGGCACTTTGACTGTGGGAATGCTGATGTGTTAAGTGTCTCAGAGTTTGATCTGATGTCCATGGAAAGAATAAAATGTTAAATAAATACGGTAAGTTTAGCATTTCTTCACATAAGACAACATCAAATATCAAAGCCAGTGAAAGCAAACCCTCTCAAAATGTATAAACATACTGTTGGTGCGTCACTACTAAATTAAAACCATATGTCTCGGCTGGGCCCTCCTAGTCTCACACTACGATTTCTCATAAGTACAGTTTAAAATTATTACTGTATACTGCATGCATTTCAGTTATTGTGTGTATTAATGACTTACATAATTATGTACATAAAATTTTTGCATTAAAAACATGTTTTTTATCATTTTAAGATGTTTTAGGGAAGACTCGTTTGTAGAAATGTATCTCTGTTTTCAAAGTGGGAGTCAGTTGGAAAATGTTTTTCTCAGGAATGGAACCCTTTCATAAATCAGGTACTGTCTGTACCTGGGATGTATGTAAAGTTCCCATCTTCTGACCTCAAATAATGGTGTTGAAGAAAATAGTTGCTAAACACACAGTCTACTGTCTGCACAGACAGGCTTTGCAACACATGCATGGACAATACAATATAGTACTCTGCAATACTTTTTGCAAGAGTTGGTCAAGAATTAGCCTCCAAAACTGGAAGGTCATTTCTCCATACACCCCCATGACTGTCTTTGCCTCTACTACAGTACTACTCTGAGATTCAATTAATCTCTCATTGAAGCATGTGTTGAAACAACTATTCCACAATACAGTACAGTATCTGAAGCCTGCTAGTCTCTCCATTCACTTTCCATTAAGATTAACACTTACATCCCCCTATTTCTTCTCTCTTTGAGGAAGGAATTTACTTCCTCCACTGTTTACCTGAGTTTTTAGAAACACCAGTCGTGTACAGTATACTGTACTGTACAATATTTTAAATAAAAGATGAATTGCCAATACAGTACAAGTACATGAAAATTACAGCCAACCACAAGAGAATCCTATGGCAGTGTGTCAGTCTAGGGTAATTGAATAAGTGATATCTCCGTTAGCTAGAACAACTGGTGCAGAGCACTTCCAGGAAAGAGAGATTACTGGGTAATGAGAAGACTCTCTCAAACCCAGAAAAAATCACTCAGCTCCAGAATTTTTCTGGGTACTGGAAAATTTTTCTCAGAATTTCTGGAAAATGCACCTGATTTTCATCTCTCAAACCTGGAAAACATATCCCCCATCCCCGTAATTTTCCGGGAAATTTTTCTTGGAGTTTTCCAGAAAATGCGCCCCTCAGAAAATTGTTCCGAAAACCCTGAATTTTCCGGAAAATTCTGAGCAAATTTCAATTCCAACTATCAGAGAATTCCGGTTAAGAGGGATTCCGGCTAATGGATATATTACTGTACAGTAGTTTTCTGTGCACCTACTTACTCTGAATATCAGTAATGAAGCATTTGTCTTGCACTGTACTTGTACTTCAAACCAGAGAATATGAGAAAGTGCTACTGAGTACAATACGGTAAACTGTTTTTGTGTACAGTCAGCCAAGTGGAAACTGCGACAAAATGTTCTGGTGCATGGAGACATGTGGCAGTCCCTCTGTAGTAAACACATGAAGGGGATTCCAGATGTCTCCATGCACCAGAACATTTTGTTGCAGTTCCCACTTGGCTGACTGTACTGTACAGTACTCATCTGTTAATTACCACTTTCATCCTTTCACTGCTGCTTTCTCTGTTTTTCATTTACAACATGTCAAATTACAGTACTGTACATCTTTTGTCTACAAATCCTTTCTGTCCAACTTTTTGCTTCTCTTTATTATCTAGATTTTCTTCAATCACCAAACAATTCTTCATCAGCTTAATTCCCCAATGAATGCACTTTCACTAAACTCCTGATCACTAAAAAACAAAGAATGAAATACTGACTCACTCTAAAGGTTTCAAAGTAGTCGAGCGTGGAAATGAGGACCAGGCACTTTGGTGCATACATGATGGAGTGATGCGTGATGATGGGCACTGGTGGACCCATCCCCCGTACGCCCCCACTGCCCAGCTCCAAGGCGTCATCCTCCTGCAGAAAATATAAATTGAAGTTCCAGCCTCAAGAAGAGAAGTTTTGTCTTGCAATATTATGTGATGGAAAGCCAGATCATCCATTTCCTACATACATAAATAGTTGACTTATTGCTTAACAGTGAGAAGTTTCTTCATTCTCTCTGATGGGGGTAAAATGATATGGATCTCCTGAAGATTCATTCCCCCAGATTATTTCACCTTAAGATTAATCACCATAATACTAGCCTAGCTTAATCTAACATAACTTGACCCAACCTTACCACATCTAAGCTAACCTTATCTAATCAAACATAATCCAACCCAACCTCATCTAACCTAACTTATGTCTAATCTAGCTTAAACTAATCCCACCGAGGTAGCGTTGGGTCCGTTAATATGCAGGTGAAGTAAATTGACGGGCAAATCTTCAGGTGATTCGATGATACAAATACAGGATAGGTTTAAATTCTATTACAATATGTTTGGCTACGTTAAGTTACAGTACATATGGTTACGTATGGTTAAGTTAGTTTATGGTTCTGTAGGCAGCTATGGTTGGGTTATATTATGTTACGTATTGTTAGGTTAAGCTAGGTATATATGTTATGTTAGTTGTGGTTAGGTTACATTGGGTTAGGTAAGGTTAAGAAAGGTATAATTAGGTTAGGTTAGGGTAGGTTAGGTTATGTTCGGTATGATATGTTTATTTAGTGTATGATAGATGGGCGCGCAAGGGGTCTGCTTTTAAATTATACTGTACACCGCTATTAGTATCTTTTACCTGTTTAAATAACAGTCTACTGAATACTGGATATAATTAGCTTTCAATAGAATAAACAAAATCACTGAATTAAGTATACATAATTTTAAAATTATCTTAATGTGATAAAAAAAAAAAATTATCAGTCTACATTAAAGTCAGCTAAATTGTATACGTAGTTCAAACAGTGTGACCCATGCTAAAATTACTGTTTCCTGGTAATTTACTTAGCATTATTTATTTTAATGACAACTTATTATGGTGATCAATATCTCCAAGCAAAGCAAAATAGCACATAGTATGGTAGAGTTATAGTATGGTAGATACTGTAATATAAAATTTAAATTTTTTGCGGTAAAAATAGTAATAAATTATGAACATTAATACTTTCCACACTTCAATAAAACTTTCACCATAAAACCAACTGCCTTAATGGGACGAATTCTTCCTTCATTAGTAGAAAAAACTGGCATATTCTGCATATTAGGTGAATATAAACTATATTCTGCCATCAGCTACAGTCTATACATTTTTTTATTATCAAAACAACTCCATAAAATTAATTTCCAACTCGTCATGACATGGAATCTTTGTGATATCTGCAGAGTCTATTTTTAATACCCATGACAGGGTAAAAAAAGACACAGGATACAGAGTATATGAGAATGAAATTATCACCAATTCAATTGAACATGATGCTGTACTGTTATGGTCAAACTAATGCCTAGTCCTTCACAGGCTCCAAAACAGCCCACCTCACATCCTTACCTCATCAGTGGGTTTACTTGGGGTGATGGAGACAGCCTCATTGAAGCAGAGAACTGCACAGTAGTGGCGATTAGCATCTATGTCTGTCAGCACTGAGACGAAAAACTTAGGTTCCTGACGATCCGTCGACAGCGCCCACCCTTGTGGTTGACAGAACTATGGAGTTTTAAAATTAATGGTTAATTAGTTGATGAATTAGTTGTTTGAAGTTGTTCTTCATGTCTTACACTAACAACATAATGATCAAACAATATACTGTACAGAGTTGAGATAAAACAATGCAGCTAATGAAACAGTTTGACTGAACTATTGTATGTATAGTTATAAAGTCCAGCAACTACAGTATCAAGACAATGGATTATAAAAACTGCTTTTATATATTAATAAAGATCAATTGCACAAGCATTAGCCTTTTAGTGAGATGTAGTAATTTAATATTGTATACAGTATATACCTGTACTGTACTGGTAACTGATCTGGACAAGCGTATCTTTTATTGGGGAAAACGTGCATATTTGTAGCTCAATAAGGTTGTTTAAACCACCGAGAAATTTTTTCTTTTTCAAGAATTGGCAATAAACTACCCTAGTTAACACAGAAGTTTACAGTTGGCAGTTAGCCATATGTTATGAACCAAAGTAAACATAATAACAAAGAAATACCGTACTCGATTTCCTGTAAGCCCTTTAGCAGTAGAAAGAATTGCTACTGGTGCTGGTTAACCAGTGTTCTATCTATAGCTAATGGTCAGCAATACCTGTATCTGGGGCTCAGTGACCACACAAAAAGCAAAATAAATAGATGTCCTTTACTCACAACACTAACAAGATCAATGTCCTGCTCATAGCCTCTATAGTGGCTGTTTACTGAAATGTTCAACATGAATTAAAAATGACATGAGCAAGTGTAATACAAGTGATCTTTGGTTAACTCATGTTTGTGCAACACAATTTCGTTTTCACACCATTCACTACTGTATTAGGGAATACTCCTCACAAAACACGATCTGATTCCGGTTTAACACATTCAATAAATGATCCTGTTCTAGATGTGTCCTCTTTACGTCCCCAGACATCTACAGTAAGCTAATCATCTGCCCCGACCAGTGTTGACCTTTTACATGCATGACGTAGTGACTCACTAAACTTTACTGTTCTTTCATGAGTTACCAGTAGCAATCATTACACTCATAAGTGCAAAGTAAGCATTAGGTGATGCGAGTGCTTCTGTGACCAAAATCCAAAGGAAATAGAAGTAACTGAGCTGAATGAACTACAAAAGCAGTGTCAGGAGGCAGCTGACAGCAATATCTACAGTGCCAAAAGATTGTTAAGATCACAACGACTCTCCTCACCATGACACCAACCACACAAACAGATAGCCTCCACAAATATGCAAGCAAAATTTTATTGTTGAAAGAAAAAATAATTTCTATACTGTATGTATAAAGTAAAGAAAAATCAACCATTACCACACCACACCACACCCATCCACATACAGGTAACAACAATGCATTGAGTGGCCAAACTCACAAAATCATGCTCAAGTCTTGCTATGTACAGTACAGGTACTTTAGATTTGAAACCATACTGAATCTTAAGTACAGTACAGTACTCTGTATTAAGGAATTTAATTTGGATTTTTGAGCTTTGACTGTATTTTCAATAATAGTTTTTAATTTATAAACTTTGTGCAAACATACAGTAGCTACTGTACTAGGCAAACCCTCACCTTTTACATGTCTTCTTGGATTATTAATTTCACTTTACACATTTTCAATTGACAAAATACCGGCACTTTTTAGGAACATGCCTACTGTACTGTATTGTGCTAACCAAGGAATGCCTTAAGTGAGCTTCTCTTTTTTCAACTGCACTATCTTAGTCTGCAGCTTCTATTTAACCCTGTGTTAAGCATCACTACCACCCAATGCTAAAATTTATCTGCTTAGAATAATATTCTACGGGTACTTTAAATATAAGGCTGCAACCTCCAATATTTTGTTTATTAACCTTTCTTATGAAATTGTTCTGGTCATCCTGTGCTGAAGATGAAAGGGACTTGAAATAGTTAAAAAAATATAGGACTGAAATAAGAAATCCAGCTAAAACATGTCTTTTAACACCGGCAATTGCAGACGTGATAAAAAGAACAAAATATTCCTCCCATGAGGATGCCCCCTGAGTTATACTATAGAAAGAGGACCTAAAAGCTTCTCCAGATTTATGTGAAGGTATTGAAAACAAAAGCACCACTTCTTCCCTCGGGTCCCTCAGAAGAACGAAACCTCCAGCCCAGATCTGAAACCTCTATTCACACTGACATGTGAAGGAACAGAAGCAACCTAAGAACCGTGGATGACAATTGTTCCTTGTTCCTCCACCACTTCAACACAGACCAAACTTTAGATGAAAAAAAAAGTCTCTATAACACACCTTCAAAGATTGACTGGATCTATGTTTCAAAAATAGATAGACCAATTTCATCATCTGAGATGCAAAAAGTTACTTATTCACAATCTTCTCAGAATGAGCTGTTAATATGAAACAACCTTCCCATTCCCTTGGCAGGATACTACACCACAACAACATTGTTTCATCAACATTCAGCAGCATATGAGTTACCCAATCATTTTGGTAGTATGCTAATCCCCTTTTGGCATGTGTATTCAAAAGTTTACTCCTTCACTGGGGGTGTGCAGGGGCTAGTGTACACAAAGAGAACCCAGTCCTTAACTTTGGTGAAGAATTGAATATGAGACTCTTCACTTGAGGGAAAAAATTATATGGTCATTCAAGTGAAGGGGTTGGGGAAACTATTTGGCTAACCTTATAAGCAAGGTTTTAAAACTGTATGAACCAAGCATACAAATTTGGATTGGTAAAATTGAACCCATATCAACTGCTTATAAAAGATATCTGAAATAAAATCTTTCATTCACAATTATAAGAGTGAGCTCATGTGTGCAATGGATGTCAGCCTTGAAGCACCAAAATGAAGTTGGCATCACTTACCAACTCATTATCACTCATCCACCAAAATCATACACAACCTTGTACACTGAACTATGTCAAGACTGTGCTGGAAATCAAACAGTAATTGGAATTTGATCGAGGCAAAAAGCAGTAAGAACAAAGTATCAAATAACACTTATATCTCCATTAATGACCCACTAGAGGACACATGTATCTGAAGAGGAAGAAGTGGTTGGATGGCTTGATGTGTGATAAGTTATGGGTCTCACATTTAGAGCCATGAAGTTTGGGATGAGCGGTGAATACTGGCTCTAGAAGCAACACCCCAGACTGAGAGTTCAAAACTGCCTAAGCCTTGTTTCTGATAGGGTGTTCTAGTGTCACTTGTTGATAACTTGTGAACTATAAAATGCTTCTATGTATATCCACAGGACAACAGTTCAAATATCTTGACAGTCTGACTGACAGCATGCAAGTGCAGGTTGAAGTAAGTTGTTACTTGTGGTGATAGTGTATAAGAGTAATACAGGCTGCTAATTCACAGATTTAAGCCAAATTAGCCCTACTGGTCCCTGAGACAACCAATAGATTCATATAAATTCAACTGGGTGGTAAGATTGCATGCATTTGTTATTTTCTGCAATATGTTGTACACACAAAAATAAAAATCTGCCCACCTGGATCCAGTGTTTGGAAATGAACACAATGTACAACAGTCTTGGTTCGGTCGGTATTTCTGATTGCGAGTTGCACCTGTTAATAACTACGGTATGTGCAGGCGCAACTCGCAATCGGAAATACCAACCAAACTGAAACTGATGTACATTGTTTTCATTTTCAAACACCAGACCCAGGTGAACAGATAGTGTTTTTTTTTTTGTTTTTTTACATAAGAATTGTGTTAAATAAAGGTTGGAAGTAACTCTTGTTTTCAAAAAAATAAAGGTAACTCCCAGTCATGAAGATGTCACCTGAAGTACAAAACGAAATTCTACAGAGAGGTTTCAAGGATGCATTTATGTTGGACTGAACAGATGCAAAGCGTTCGACAGGTTTTGGGTCATTCAATGCTACCACTGCCAAAAAATTTGAACACCTTGCTTTTGGCTATCCCAGGAAGCCTGGTTCTCTTGTTTGTACCTTCTCTGCAGGCCCGTTATGAGTCTAGGACAAACTCAAATAAGACCTCACCTTGGTGTGCAAATTGTTGCACTCTTGCAATACCACCCAAGCCAGTCAGTCAATTATTTTGCATCAAGTAAAGATTGCCCTAAGATGACTTCCCAAATGTAAAAAAGTAATTGAAAGACTGATTTTACCTGATCAAAAAACGTGTAGTACCCCCCTCAAACCTATTAAAAGTAGGTCCATGTGATCCAAAACAAACTGTGTCATGTTAATAAGATCCTGAGGGAGTTCAGCTTGGATATCCTCTGTGTTACTGAAACGTGGTTGTATGAATCAAACATCAACATTATTCACAGTGTCCTTCCCAAGACACATTCTCTTGTTTCCAGATCTGCTGCAGGAGCACCAGGTGGTGGAGTGGCACTGATCTATTCTGTGGCCCTACTCAACATTACACTGATTAGTAGTGACTATGATCTTGAAGATGGAGAATTATAGGATTTAGGAAGCATTAGAACTTAAGGCTATATGAATGATATAAGTAGAACTGTCACTTTAAGTGATCTTTTATTGTCGTACTGTACGGTGTACGGGTATTCCTTATTAATCTCAAATCATTGACTTTGTAGTGTTTCGAACATTAGTGTATTCTTCAGAAGAACAGGCGCTTTTGAGAAACAAAAGACCAGCATTGCGCACCTTACAAACAATACCTAAAAGAACTCTCACAAGGACCTGTAGACCGGGAAAAAATTATCTGTGCTTAAGTGTTTACCCCATAGTATAGCCATGTGAGGAAGATATATCAGTTCTTAGCTTCCATCACTACAGTACTGTACTGTATCTTAAACTTACCAGCTCCAGGCCCTCGATAAATGGGGTGTCTGGCCAGTCCCGCTCAGGGAACCGTTGGATGATTTTTCCGCAGCCAATTCCATTGCCTATGGAAATAAAGTTTTGTATTTAGTTTCATTTCTAACTGCAGCAATTTCTTATCTAATTTAAAAAACAAACAAACATGTTTTCAATGGTGTGAACACTGTTTACTCTGTAGCTTATGTAAAATAGGATAAAATACATGACAGAACAAAAGACTTTACCTAACCTTCCGATGTTCAAGAGATTTTACTCGTTTTTTTAATAGTTTTCGGTTAAGATACTGTTATACTACAATGATATTCTATTCATACTGTGCTTGATATAATACATTCACGGAAATGTTATATTTTTGCTGAAATGACGTAAGTATCACAGTGGAAAGTGTGATAAAATCATGACGAAAACAATCGACTATCGCTTTCTTTCGTTGTTCAAAAGATGTTACCGTAATCGCTTTTCGAATGGTTTTCAGTTAAAAAACTGTTGTATTACAATAATATGCCCTCCTAATTGACTTGAATAAATACTTGAATGAAAATATACAATAATTTTGCTGAAACTACCCGTGTTTCAGTGTAAAGTGTCGTAATAATGGCAAACAATTTGCCTTCGGCGCTCGGTGTTTCAGGCACGGTGACCCTCAGTTTATAGGACATAGAGTGTTTTTAGTGAAGATTTTGCTGTTCCATTACCCTCAAAAACTTGGGTCGACCTATAAACGAGGCATAAATAAGTATATACGGTATTTGATATTTACCATTAACTTTCAGTCCTACATTATCAATGTTTCGCAAGCGAGATGTCACAGATTCGATTCCCGGGCCGGTGGAAAGTTGTTTGGACACACTTCCTAGCCTCCCTTGGTCCCTGTTCACCTAGCAGGAAAGTAGGTACCTGTTGTAAATCGAAAAGTTGCAAATTCGTATTCAGGGAAAGTTACTGGAGCTTCCAATAAGTTGATGACAAAAACCTATGACTCTTCAGGCTTGTAAGCCCTTGACAAAAAAACCTATGACTCTTCAGGCTTCTATGCCCTTAACTCATGAACTTAGCATGCTTCCCAGATGGGCTCTGTAAACGCTTCTGCACTTCACCTTGCACAGGATGTAGGGGGTTGCCCAATAAACTAAAAAATAAAAATAAAATACAAAATAAAATAAATAAATAAAAAAAATAAAAAAAATAATCAATGTTGGAGACAGGACACAGGCTTGTCTTACATCCTGTGTAATAGTGAACCAATTATATAGTAAGCTCATTATTTATTAACACTGCAGCCTCCTATTGCGTACCTGTATAGTATAGATTCTTTAAAATTCTAATATCTCCTCCATTAATGCCTATTTTTGCCAAGATCAGTAGAAAATATTGCTTAGCAATAATATAATTAAAAGAAAACTCACCATAAATACATCAAAACAATACAAATTATTAAATTTTAAGAGCACAGATGACTGTCTCATTCATAGTACAGTACAGTACAAGTATTGTTTATCTCACACCAGAGACTTCCCACAGGTTCCCCAGATAGAGGAATGAGCCTTCTTCCTCTCACAGAGAGAAGGGAGGGTTGGACATGGGTGTTGCCCCCATGTATACCTCCTGTCTAAATTATGCACAACTCAGACCACTGACCGACCAACATAGAAACACTCCCAGGTGCCTGTCAGTCAGCATCTCAGCCTCTTTAAATTATAAGAAAAAATATAAAAAGTTCTTCATATAATACAGCACAGGATAAAAATTACCAACAACAAAAGTTATTTGATACAATACAAAGGATAGGTCCCTGACCAGATGCCCTGGGTTGGCAAGAAAATAATGCCTATGCACTGAACCCTATTCGGTGGAGTGGCAAAGGGCATACAGTAGTGAAGCGGTGCGGTCGTAAGTAACTTGGGCATTTCCTTTGAATATTGTATGACAGGAATAAATGTGTACTGTATCAGAAAAAATGTATAGTACAATTCATAATTTCTTTATACCCTGTATGTGCAGATACTAAAGTATATGTAGTGGAAGTGAGCATAGTGAGGACTGCCTGTACATTTAAGTTACAGTACACACTAGGTTGGTGTAACTGCAGCTTATTTACAAATAGTGTACTGTGTTGTATCAGTTGCTGGTACACCAGTAGAACACAAATGAGTTATGCAGACAATGATCCAATTGAAAAAAAGTGATCACACCACAAAGAGTTTGCCGAATTGAAAAGGTTAAAATTTGAGGATATGATGAACACTTACTGCTATACTGCATTTGCTTAAAATCAGTTAATAACTTGATTGAGTACACCCAGACCTACTAAGACCACCACCCCATGTATGCCTCTCTATCCCAGATCTCCATAAAGTATCATTGTGTGAAGGTGTGGAACAACATACAGTAGCACTACACTACTGTACAGTACTCCCAAAGATCCCAGCAAAGACTAAACTCCCTTTAAATCATGACTCCCTTTAAATCATATCTTTATGAGACAACTATTGTCTAAGTATTAAGATGTTTGTAATACTTACTTTTCTACTTTTTACTTTTACTGTACCATTAGAAACCATTGTACAGTATCATAATACTGTCACATTGATAGAAATTACCATTGCAATGATCATATATTTTGCCGTCAACAGATGATCCTAACTGTGTCTGTTCAATTGTTTCACATTAACACAACCCATGTTGTATCCTATTGTATCCCTAACACCCAAACAGATTACATTACTGTAGCTATTGTATATCAGCTACACTATACAGTACTGTAAACAAGTGTATATATTTATAATATAAATGTAAAATAAAATGTTATGTGATAAACATGGTAAAACGCTAATAGGTATTCACTAACACCATGTTACATGCAGTAGCTAATCCAGATGATAGCTACTAAATGTTATACAGTACAGTATAGCTAATAGAGTACAGATAAATGTACAGTACTGGGTATGTATACTGTACAGTACAGTATATAACAGGTGCCACTAAGAGGATTTAGGTTCTCACTTGAGTCAGCCATGTCAATGTTGCTATTATTGTTCACCTTGTCTTTTTCTGGCTATACATATGACCCCTAGACAAAGCAGGCCATCAGGATAGTGTTCTAGTGTGAGGCAACACACAGGTTATATATTTGATGAATGACCTGAAAGCCATAAAGAAAGACAAAATTTGTAGGAAGATGCTACAACTTCTGGACAGTCATTCTAATGATTAAAAAAGTCATTCTAATGATTAAAAAATAAAAAACAGAAACAATGACTCAAGCTTTGTGTTTTTATACTACTACACCTGTACTCATGATATTCGCACTTGATCTATGTAGAAGAGGAAAGATGTAATCAGATATCAAGTTATACAACCAAATTAATCAACTAAAATTCCATTTTTTTATTTTTCAATCATAAGGAAGATTCACATGTTTTTAATTTCCCAAATGTTTTTTTTTTAATTTTTCCCCACTTCCAAGCTTTTTGTTGCTATAATGGGTGTTTAGAGCAAACACATGCAAACACTTTACCCTCATTATCTGTCCTTTCATTCTTATTGCAGTAATAGATGTGTTCTTCAGTGGTATTCCTGCATACTAGCTATTATTTTTTCACAGGTAAGACCAATTAAACTTTTTTTATACCCAGTACTGTATTGTATTTACAATATATTGTGTATCTATCTTTGGAAATTACTGTACAGTATTACAGTACATATTTTGTTTCAATTTTCAGAGAGCTAATATCTGATACTGTAACAAGCAAGTATCTACCCTGTACAGTACTGTACAACATTAGTTAATGATCTTTCTACAGTCACCTAATAATATTCACAGTACAATACAGTACCTAGGTACAAGAACAAGTTTACTCTTAGGTAATGGCATGCTACAACTACTGGTACTATATCAAGAGAATTCAGTGAATGGTAATGTACACAACAAAAATCAATACAGTAATAAGATATATGGCACAGTACACCAGATAATTTATTGTGTAGCAAAATACCGGTACTGTAATAGCTTATGTTATTGTATTGGCAAAATTTCCTCTAAATTGTTACCCCTTACTTACAACTACGTATTAACAAAACTAAATACTGTATACAAAATATCAATCCACCACATCATTCACCCTATGATTTATCTTAGTACTGCATAAAAAATAAAAGAAAATAGTCCTTGACATGTTGGTATGCCCCAATTGAGACTAGTTGTGGCTCCAGTATAATAGAATCACAACGAGAAGATCCCAAATATGCTGTGAGGGAGGTTTATGCTCCGTGCAAGTTTGTACAGTACAATACAGTATATGACTTGCATTCCTGATTATTATTTACCATTAAATTACAGTACGTACAGTATTGCAATTGGCACAAAATGTCACGGGGTTAAACTGATGTTGAACTAATTGCTGGTGCCATGCTAACTTTTGTAGGTACAGTAATTTGACATGATAGCTGTACAGTATTAAATAACATACAGTAGTACAGTATATATGGTAGCTACAGTATTATCTACAAAATCATAGAGGTTAAATTGCAACATTTAAAATACTGTACACACTTTACTTTGACATAACAGGTAACATCCAATTTCATCTGTACTGTTTATACTGTATACAGTAGGGCAATTGTGAATACCAACAGATAGGTTAGCTATATTTGAAAATAAATCAAATAAAAATAAGGCAGGACCATAAATAAAGTAATGTACCAGCACTCTACCAATATGGGTCAACACACTATGAAAATCAACACATGTGCATTAAAGGTTAAGAACACTGATTAAAGATTAAGGCCTGAGACATAAAGAGACTAGCTACACCTCTGTCTATGACTTGTATTTACACATTTCCTGAACATCTTGGAAGACAACACCCAAAGGACCACTGAATTCCAGTGTACATTACAGCAGTTGCATGCTTGCTTCTCACCACTGTGCCCAGGTTCAATCCCAGGATAAAATGTTATCTAGTGTGACCCCAACAAACACTACAGGTTTTATCTAGGTTAACTGGCTGTGCATAATACGAGACACAGGGTCTGGGAACTGACAGCTCTTAGCAATGCAACATGCATATCAGCCAGTAAGAGGGTTAATTCCATATCATTATAACCTGGGTATCACTAAACTATTGGTTTTGGATATATTATTTAGAGAACATGTTTTATGTGAATGTACTGTTAATTTATCTAATAGACCTTAGTATGTCAGAACTATGAAAAAACAAATCTGAATTTATTTTAAAAATGAAAGTGCAGGTACCAGTAAGTTGCAGTCTCCATGCCTTCAGCAAATTGACAAAAACAATCATGATCTACTGTATATTTGATTCTAGCAAGACTGCATGACTGAATAGACAGAGTTCATTGATAGCTTTAAAATTTTCTCAGAGCCTAAGGTACTGCACCGAGGCTGGTGGGACAATCCATCACCAGTCTATTGAATAGTGTTACCCTGTACTGTATACTGTTACATATTGTATTAATTAAATCTAGATACAGTATTCAATAAAGACAATTTTATAATATTTTTATTAGTTATACAGTACTGTATTACTCTATGCACAGTACTCTAGTATGGTGTGTTTCTGCAACATTTGAGAAAAAAATATATATATATTAATAATTTTGATTATTGACTTCTATTTATGACTTACACTTTAAACTAGCAAATGTTACTCACATACGAAAACTACGCAGTTAGGGCAACATTTTGATAGTACCAAAAAAACTTTGCCTGCTGTATTTGTTTACGAGCTGTCACCTCTTCAAATTTGTTTTTTAAATTTGTCCCTAGCCACCCCATGTATGTGTGTACCAGGTATGCATGTACTGTATGTATATAATATATATAAATATCCCCGACTTACAAACGCCCGCTGATACGAACGGGATTAAACTTGAAATTTACAGTATTTTATTTTCCTGATAACTTATTTTTTACGTTCATTTACTGTATTTTGTCATTCTATTTCTTCTTTTGTCTAAAATTAAGTGATTTTAGATGTATATAAGAACTTAGGCTATGATAAAGTGGGATTTTAAACATTGTTTTGTAAGTACTGTATGCATATAGCATATGCTCCGACTTACGTACAAATCCGACTTAGGAACATCCTCAGGAACAGAACCCGTTCGTAACCTGGGGACCCCCTGTATGTATCGGGTATATACCGTATATAAAGAGAACGAGTACTGTACTGTTTATAAAATATTGGTGACTAAAAAAAAAAAAAAATTGGCAATCTAAACACTGAGCCTTGTGTCTCTTTGCTCACCACACCTCTCATATCTAATGAATTTCCAATTAACATTGGCTATCAGTCAAATTTGGAGCTTATCCATGACTTTTGTGGAAGAACCTTACCACTCAGGTGATTGTGAGGAAGTTTTGTCACTGCAAAATCTAAATAAATGATGGTTTAAAAAATTCCTCAGCTAATTCCCAGAGTACAGGTACTGTACTGTACCCTCAGGTGCTTAATATCCTTCCACTTATGGTTTTCAAAAACAATCCTCTATAATATTGTAGAAATTACATAAACCTTTCACCTGTAGTGTAATCATATGCAATACAGTACTACAGTACAGTACATCCTTTCACAAGGCTAACAAAGTACTTGGGTTCATACAAAGGAGTGTTAGTTACAAGACTAGCAAGGTTATCCTAAAACTATATCTTGCGCTTGTAAGACTTCACTTGGATTACGCATTTCAGTTCTGGTCACAGTATTACAGAATGAATATAGAATCCCTAGAAAGAATTCAGAGGAGAATGACAAGACTAATCTCGAGCATTAGGAACCTTGAGTACAAAGACAGGTTAAAGCATTTTAATTTGCACTCCCTCGAGAGACACAGAGTGAGGGGCAATACGATCGAGGTGTATAAATGGAAGTCAGGGCTAAGCAAAGGTGATATAACAAGGTACTCAAACTATCCAACCAGGAGCGAACTCGTAACAATGGTTTTAAATTAGACAAATTTAGATTTAGGCGGGGGATAGGTAAAAACTGGTTTGGAAATAGAGTAGCGGATGAGTGGAACAGGTTACCAAACATCATCATTAATTTGAATACACTGGATAGCATCAAACATAAGTTGGATGTATATATGAGCGATAGGGGTTGGGTGTAAACGGGAGTGCCCAGTATGGGCCAATAGGCACGCTGCAGTTTCCTCCATTCTTATGTTAAGTTATTTACATAATTCTTGGTGAAAACTGAAGCAGTAATTCAATAAGTTCCCCTTTCCACAGTACTGTCTCAAACACTAAATCACCTTGTAAGGCGGTCCAACTAATTACCCAAATGAACCCAAATGTACTCAAATGTAGCCACAATGAAGTCAAATGATGGTCCTACAAGCGTAAATCGGACTGTGAATCACTTCTCGATTAGTATTTGGTGTCATAAAGTCACAAAAAATTGGTAAACTTAATTTAATCTGAGTTGAGATAGGTTAGGTTAGGTTAGGTACATGCACTCGATCTATTAACTCAGATTAAATTAAGTTTTCCAATTTTTTGTGACTGTGTGACACCAAATACTAGTCGAGAAGTGATTGGCAATCCGATTTATTCATGTAGGACCATTATTTGACTTCATTGCGGCTACATTTGGGTTTATTTGGGTAATTAGTCGGACCCCCTTGTAAGGTACAGTATCAACAATTACAATACAGTATTACCATATATAAAGTTCAAACTAATTTTGTTTTTTTTCTGCATCAAATCTGCATTTTTTTCCAATATAAACAAGGCTGAGGGTAATCATATGGAAAAACTTGTCACATTATCTCTTGTGATGGCCAAGAATTGAATGACTCGTGAGACCTAACCTCAACGAGAGACAATGTGATGACCACAATTTCTCAGCCATTGTGAGACAACGTAAAGACTTGCTATATCCAAACGATTAGCCACAGCGATATATAAATAAACAATTATATCCAAAACGACCCTATCAAAAAATAATAAGGAATAACATGGCAACCCTCTCCTTAATCTCTGCCTCCTTTATTTAAAAAAAAAACACATTGTTGCTTTACACAGTCTACAGAATAAGAAAAATACGAATATAAAGTACAAAAATGAGGGAGAACAAATATGACATTGTTATTTTGTAAATTTTCATCTGTGGTTATGAAACAATCTTGACACTCACACCTAACAACTACACATAAGCAACAATACTTTTTGAAGGGAAGAATAACTACAGTCATTCACTAATCTCGGTAGTCCAAGTCTGAGATGGTTTGAAATACTATAGGTATATACTAGTTGGGTGGCCATAAGGTAATCATGGTTGGTAAAAGCTCACAACTCATATCCAGATTCTGAGTTATATTCCTTGTGCAGTTCACATGTGATAAATTAATTTCTCGGGACTTTAAATAATTTATATGCAAAATAATATACTTCCAGACTTTTACAAATGTACCTTAGTTATATTTAAAGAATTACCTCAGTCTGTCCAGGTGTTGTATTAAAATTAGCTATGACAGTAGATTGGCCAATTCAGCTCATGTACACTTTACTTTTCGGTACAACACAAGTGAATATATAGTGTGAGGTGCTCAGTTCATGAGAAGCCAACAGGTAGGACTCCTGATTACGTTATGAGGCAGTTTGGTCAGGACAACCCACGACCCCCTAAACCTGTTTCCACCCACACTCCCCCAGACACCCACTGTAATTCCCACCTTCCAGAGGGTGTAGGGTGTGTGGGTGGGGAGGGCGTGGCACTGTGGGTGGTGTGTGTGTGGCAGACATGACCTAGTATGAGCCAGTTGACAGGTCCACCACCCACCTCCGTCCCATTCTAACCCTTGGTAGCCACGGCCCAACCCTCCCTCCCTTTACCTACCATTATTATCACTATTTTCACAATAACGATAAACCCTTACGGTCTTTTTTGTGGTCGTATCCAACGATGGCAAAATAATCCGCAAGTCTCGACATTATTAGCCTTCCCTGAGAGGGCAAATCACCAATATATCGGTGAGCACGAGCATCATCACCTCACACAGCCATGGTAGAACCTACTGAGTTGCCACACGTCCTCCTCCTCACCCTCTAAAACTTCCCCCACATTCCCTGGCCAGACTGCACTTCTCCCCTGAACTTGCTCTTATCATACTTCTATTGCTACTATAAACTATTAATTGTTTCATATAATACACATTTAAGTTTATTGAATGAGCTATTGATAGGAAACATTGTAGATACAGACCTAAGATAGTTCACAATATTCCCTAGCCAGACCTTAGTTCTTCCCCTGAAATCGCTCTTATTCTATTCCATTTAACACTAATACCTGTATGTTTTACATGTCTTTGATTATTCATATTATAATTCAATGAATGCATAATGGATTCCAATCATTGTGTAATGAATCTTTAAATTGCTTATGGAATTCCCGAAAAAGACAACACGATTTTCCCCTGAAATCGGTTGCACTTTGTGTAATTGGTCACTTAAATATTAAGCATCTTGCATGTACTATATTAATATTTAACAAATGAACAATAGATGGGATATACTATAGAGAAATACAGCTGTTGGTTTATTATATACGATGAAAGAGTACAGGTTACACTCATTGATAGTTTACCCGGTACTTGGTGAGAATGAATGATGCACTGTGCCATGAACACTATTGAGATAGTATAAATGACCCTTCTTGTTAACGACCAAAGTGAAAGAAGATACGGAAATAACAGATTCCATTCACTTTTCTATAGTATTGATTCACTGGTTAGCGACACGAATCTGAAACCATTGTTAGGGAGGTACATTGTCAAATTACTATAAGTAATTTATAGCACTACCTCCTGATCTACTCACTAATTTGAAAAGATCCATACAGGCGTAACATCAATATTTGGGCTTCTTATAAATTAATTTATATTTCACTAGATTATATAAAGAATGTCCTAATTAGGCGAATGTTCTAAATTCTCACTCAGAAATATGTAATTGGTGACCAGTCGCTGACGCCAGTTAAGAAAAAATAAATGCCAATACATTCACAAGTATGGGAATTTTTTCCTCCATACGGCAACAGTGTTTAGACTCGCCTGTGTCTGCGCAGTGACTAACCTTGACTTGTCTCAACTGTCTGGCTGACTTCTTTATTTTCTATATCTACGGACATATAACTTAAATAAATAGAATTTTAATATACAATACAATAATATTTAACTACAGTTATTCATCTTCTGAGTATTTTAGACCCTAATTCTATACATGCATTTACTTTGAGGGCAGTTTAATTATGAATAGAGAATTCGGATATCCTCCGCCGGAGCGCGCGCCATGCTTAAATGACCACGAGCGACATCCGCAGGTAGGAGTTCTGTGCTACGGCAGATATCGTCCTTCTACCATAATACCATAAAGTTGTAAATGAACTAGACTGTTACCTGACATAAGGCGCTTGTTTATGAATCAACGCAACGACAATTTACAGGAAGGCATGCATGAATCCCGTACCGGAAACAACGGAGAGAAGCGTCCACAGGGCGTAATGTGTGAGGTTATTGAACAACTTTTATCAGTCATTACATGGGACTCATCCTAACAATGGGATAGCTGCAGTCTGTATCTCACTAGTTTACTGTGTGGAAGGCGAGTCACGTTAACCTGGAATTTTTTTTCCATGACGCGTCTTAGTCAGCCCAAGCTATCAGACTGACTAATATACACGCTCGTGACACATTTCATACTTAACACTTCTCACGTATATTTAGATCATATGAAGCTTCTCCCTTCCAGAGTAGCCCCTGACGAGTCCTCTCCGTTGTAACTGATGACTTGCTTTCCCTCACTAGGTTTAGTACCTTTGGCACTATTGAATGTATTCAGGACGCAAAAATACAACATAAGTTCAATAACTTTATTAAAGAAAAGAAAACGTAGGCTTATGTGGTCAGTTAGATTAGCTAACTTGAACTAATTGACCACATTACCTGAGTGATAAGTCATGGTGATCAACTGAAGAATATCCACCCACTCGAAGAATTTCATCCCCCACAGTGTGACTTGAGCAGGGGGGGGGGGGATTCTTCATATGATCTGTATATTATTCTGAAATTTAAATTCTCTTGGAGCATTATGATGCTCGAGGCTAGGTGAACATTTCATCAGAATTTTCAAGAATTTACGATACTCACTGCTAAAAAATGCCGTGTACAGTACAGATGGGAAATATTTGTCAAGGTGAACACACTGAAAAGACATGAAAACACTGATGTTATGCCAGAGATATGTAGGAAAAATAATATCACACTATCTGATGAGCATACGTGCGATTATCAGTGATACTCTTTAGGTAAAAATCATTAATTACCACCAGGTACGCATGGAACAGTCCTTAATGTTATTTCAACGTCGTTTAAACATTGAAATAAAGCTGAAATAATGGCCTAACGTTATTCCAACAAGGAGTTAACGATGGGATACAGTCCTTCTGTCATTTCAATATTAACATGACGCTGAAAGCTCTAACGGCAATTCAGGAAAAGACATGTCAACCACTGTTATTTAAATCTAGTATAGTTAAATTTGATGTCTTTCGAAATCTTCAAGATGTGTCGACAATTAAATCATCAACGCTACCAATAAAGAATGTTCATTACCGGTATATTCTTCAAGGAAGCTGCTTAAGGTGCTAACTATGAGAATTATCCCCCATTCACAGCTTTGTTAAGGACATTAATCTTTTTAAAAGACTGTGTAGCCGGTGTGTCAAAATCCTCTCTGCCAGCCTTGCAAAATTGACCCCGAAGCACCACCGTGTAATTCACTTAATGTATTCATGCTCATCAGCACTATTTACCTCACTAACTTAAAAAGAAATATAGATGGATATTCAGTAGAACTATCATACAAGTTTACATTGGTTTAGTGTATACACGAACAGTATAACCTTAACGTCAATGCCATTTTGAGTACCTATCATTCACTCGGGACCATTATGAGCACCTGGGAATCACTTGGAATCACTATGAGCACCTGGGAATTACACACACACGAACGGGTTCTGTTCCAGAGGATGTTCCTAAGTCGGTTTTGTACGCAAGTCGGAACACATGCAATGCACACACCGTACTTACAGAACAATGATTAAAATCCTACTATATCATAGCCTAAGTCCTTACATACATCTAAAATCACTTAATTTAAGACAAAATAAGAAATAGAATTACAAAATACAGTAAATTAAGTAAAAAATAAATCATCAGGTAAATAAAATACTGTAAATTTCAAGTTTAACCCCGTTTGTATCAGCGGGCGTTCGTAAGTCAGACTTTCATAAGGTCATGTTATATTACGTTAAATTAAGTTTGGTTAGTTTAAAATTAAATTTGTTTGGTTAAGTTAGGTTAGGTTAGGTTAGGTTAAGCTTACGGTAGTTTGACGTCCGGAATTAATAACATCCAGAAGTAATCAGAAAACGAGAGACTACAGCAATCCTGATTATTTTCTGACAGACGACCGTGATTATTTCTTCCTCAAGGAAACATCCATCTTCCTGGGTGGTGTTCAAGGTGAGGACAAAAGGTGAAATGTTCTCTCCGTTCACTGTGAGAGAAGGGGCGGTCTCTGTTTTCTGCAGGGATGGAAAACGGTGGTTTGCGTGTACCTCTAAGAACAGGGCTGTTCTCCGATGAACAAATCTCCATTGAAAACCTCTCCACTAAACACCTACCTGGTGAACAAATTTACATTAAACATCTCTTCGTCTAGTAACCCTTGTTACGGTTTCCATCGGCAAATCAGATCATCACGGCTAAAATTTACACTCTTGTAAAAAGTTAAAGGAATAATTAAATCCCCCTCATATCTAAGAGTGAATAGTAAGTTAAAATATTAATTAAAGACCACTGCTCCTCCTCCCCCACCTCGACATTTTACGTGTGTAATTTCCTGCAGTCGCTGCTAGACCAAGCTGAGCACCGCAAAAAGTGTACCTGGCCAGTCACACAAATGTTCTGAAGACCATGGAATTATTTTACGTGGGTTTGACCGTTTGATAGGTTGCGGTAGCTTCTGCCAGAGAATGGTAGACTATTTATCTCTCCGTCAGTGATTGAGTAAGTGGCTCGATCAATATTGCCTGTGTATGCAAAAGGTCAGTAGTTTTTGACATTGTTGATGACTAGGGTTTTTCAACTATAATAGGTCATAACTTTTACAAACATCTGATTTACCTTCTCAAAAAAAATATCAAAGTAGGGGAGGACTAATTAATATTAATCGAAAGATAGTGTGCGGGCGTTCCTCCAGGTTAAAGTAATCGACAAACTCTACAGTATGTCACGAGGGAAATTATTTCCGGCTGTGTTGGGTTGTGGGGGCTCACGCCATTATTGCGTGACGTAACATCAGTAACTCGTCTAGCCAGATTCTTATACACCAACAACTACGACCTGAGGAGACTGTGCCTTACTGCTAATAATTTGTAAACATATATACCACCTTCCACTTTTTCCCACACGCGAGTTCCTGTCATGGTGGGTTTAAATCCTCAGACGATCGTAACTAAATTTTCCCCATGACTAACCGAAGGTGTGAAAACGCATCAACCCGGCACACACTAGTTACTTTTGCAGCTCATGTGGATTTGAAATTGTACTGAAACTGCGATGACTAGCGGACTCTTGCTCTCATCCCAACCCTCCAAACAATAAAAGAACCAAGTAGGCTACTGTATTATATGAGTGTTAATACTTAATTTATCAACAAGATCTGAAAAAATTCGGAATTTCGGAATAGAATCAAGATATGTAAACCGTGTATTAATTCCAATTCTTATTATCACTTAACGTTAAATAACCAACAAATATAAGGACTGGTCTGATAACAAGAAAGGGTCGACTTTCCGGAAGAGAAAAGAATCAAGTAGTGTGCAGTGTGAGAGCTGGGTGAGAGCGTGATAAGCACAGACCAGAGTGAAGGACAAAGCCTTAATTCTCCATCCCTGAGTCATCCTCGGCCCGACAAAGAAGTGCTTTAGGGCTTCGTTCAGCTGCGCGATTGGGTCTGGCTAGC